ATGCAGCTATATCTCTGCTTCTACATGCAATCAATTAACGAAGCAAATGGTCTACAATATTGATATTACGTTGTCTACAACATGTCAGCAATATGCTGACACATTGCAATTTGTTGTTATTAGCACATGAATTCATGTGAGTTCAACGTAACAGACATAATGCTGTTTCACCTTGTCTCTAGCTTGTTAAAATTAGTTGCTTCAACAATTATTGACAACATGACAGCAACCTCATTGCATTTGACTATCTGGGTAATTTACTTTTTTTAAAATTTGAAAAAATTCTTTAACATTTTTTCGGTAAGTATAATAAACTGATAAATATGTAATAATAGAATATATAAATAATCTCAAATTTAGTTGTTCTAAAATTTAAGAAAAGTCATTCTTAATATAATCTTCAAACTGCTGGTTCTTTACTATATTTATCCGAGTCAGCCAAGAAGTTTGCTCGAACAGATTTTGTCAAGGGTTGCTACAAATTCTTGTTAGTAAAAAGGCCACAATTTGCGGACAGGAATTGCTACTACAGACTTTGATGGCAAATTGATGGCAAAAATCGTACAAAGTTTGTTGTAAAACCTGACAACAAATTGGCAGCAAAAAACGAACAAAGCTTACTAACATGCTGGACATCAAATTGTCGATAAAAATCGAGCAAAATCTGCGCACGTGTAGTCTGAAGGCAAATTAGCGGCAAATTGTGAACAAACTTTGTTGACATAACTTGACAGCAAATTAGTGACAAAACCCGAACATACCTTGCAAATATGCTTGACGTCAAATTACCGGCAAAAATCGATCAAGATCTGCGTAGAGAAATTTGACAACAAATTGTCAACAAATTGTGAGCAAACTTGATATTTTGAAGCAACTCAAATTCGATTTGCCGGTGATCAAGATTAATTATAACTTATATTCAATTTTTCATGAAATTGATATAAAGGACTGAGACTAACATAAGATTCAAAGTATATTTCTTCTTTTTAGTCAGTTTAATTTTTGATAAATTGATTTAACTTAAAATAATTTGTTAAATCTCTATCTCTTGTTGGGATTTATAGAATATTAAACAGATTAACAGATATATGAAATTAAACAGATGGGAATTAATCAATTTATTGCGTTATTGAAATATTGAATATAATATGAATACCTGTGGCTGAATATAAATAAAACAATTGCAGATTATAAGAACATCTTAATAAGAAACATTTAATAAAAAAATTAATAGACATTTTTTAAATGTAGTAGCGGTTAACAGATCTTTAAATAAATGTTTTATAGAAGTCTAATGTAAAAGACACGATTGTCTAAATTTTATATATTTATATAATTTTATATATAAGTAAAATATTCATCTATCACAAACAAAAAATTTTAATATATTACTTGTATATAATATACATTACAATTTTATATTTATAAAATAAAATTTTTTCTATATATAAATAATCTCAGTTATTTAAAAAGAAAAAATAATAACTGAAAATTAAATATCCGTAAACGTCAAATTTAAATGGCTTTGGAAGGTTTGCTCACAATTTACTAACAATTTGTCGTCAAACTTTCCGGCGTAGATTTTGGTCAGTTTTTGCAGACAATTTGATGTAAAGCATATTAGTAAGCTTTGTTCGGATTTTGCTACCAAGTTTTATCAGCAAGATTTGCCAACAAAACATGAGCTTATTGCGGACACAGATGCTGTAGTATTTGGTATCAAGTTTTGAGTGCATTTGATTCCAATTTGGCGACAATTTGTTGCGAAATTGTTTTCTGGATATGATAAAATTAAATTATAGCATTTGATAAGAATAAAATGTTTTTTTTCTTGCATTTGAAATAAATTAGTTTTTTTCTAAATAATGTTTTTCACTCCACTTCGATAATAGAAATTACTAAAATATGTAAAAAATTTATTTTCTATTTCTTATAAGATTATATAATAAATAAACATAATTTATATTTACTCTCTTTATATCCTTTATATATATCTCTATTAAAAAAAATATTATGACAACAGAATAAGATTTAAAGCTATTTATTAATCTATGAATTGAAAAAGAGGAGAGTTTAACTGTTTCTCTCATTCCCCCACTCTCTCTCTCTCTCTCTCTCTCTCTCTCTATATATATATATATATATATATATATATATATATATATATATAGAGAGAGAGAGAGAGAGAGAGAGAGAGAGAGAGAGAGAGAGAGATAAATTAGTTTTTAGTATATTTGGTAGCATATGTCTGTCATATATACAGGGTGTCTTAGACCACCTGTACACTCCTTTTCTTTCAAAAAGCATTTTAGAGAAAAACGTTTTCGATAAAAATTGTATGGTTTTGAGGGGAACATAAGAAGGTGTTATTGGTTTGACTTTGGATGGCATCGTTAAGGTCAAATCAAGGACACCTTTAATTTCTTAAATGGAACCACCTATTTTTTATTGCAGATTCTTATAACTTATGTCGAGAGCTTTCCAAAACACTATAATAAAGTATTTTTTCATTGAGTACTTTTCGAGTTATGAAGCTTAAAATAATTTTTCAATTTTACATAAACCATAAAATCTAGTAAAATATTCATTTTTTTATTATCTTACCTTAATACTTTTATATACAAAATAATGAGAGGAATCAATTGGTGTAGGTAAAGAAAACACACAGTTGTTTTTAAGAAAAAATATGTAATTGTTAATTGCAAATTACATATTTTTTCTTCGGAACAATTATGTGTTTTTTTAAGAATCTGCAATAAAAAATAGATGGCTCCAATTAAGAAATTAAAGGTGTCCTTGACTTGACCTTAACAATGCCATCCAAGGTCAAACCAATGACACCTTTTTATGTTCCCCTCAAAACTATACAATTTTTGTCCAAAACGTTTTTCTCTAAAATGCTTAGTTTTTGAAAGAAAAGGGGTGTACGGGTGGTCTAGGACACTCTGTAATATATATATGTATATATATATATATTCTCATTGGAAAATTTCAAGAATTCTTAATTGAATTCTTTTATATATATATATATATATATATATATATATATATATATATATATGACAGATATATGCTACTAAATATACTAAAAACTAATTTATTTCAAGTAATAATAAAATTTACACACTTCTTGGCTTTCGCAATGTCATAGTGTAGTATGAGTAACGAAAAGAGATTAGCAATCTTAAGATTATTTTCAATATTTTAAAAAATAAATTATGATAAAATTTTCAACAGAATTTTAAAGCTCCAAGTAATAGTGACAAATCATTCAATTTCTTTGTAATTAAATATTTTGATATTAAAAGAATTTTAATTTTATTTGAAATTAATTCAATTAAGAATTCTTGAAATTTTCCAGTGAAAATATATTGCATTAAATAATGTCTTTAATGCTTGTAAATTAAATGATATCTTGAAAGAACATAAAACAATTAAATTTTACATAATTTATAAAAATTTTAATATTGGAAAATAATGAGATAACATGGAATTCTTTGACTTAACAGAGCAATATAGTTATAATAAAACATGAGAAATTAACGTTGATGCAATTAACTGTTTAAATATGTAATAACATCGCTTCAATTACACAGGATATTACAAAATTTAAGCATAAATACTACAACAGAAAAGTTCGCGATAAATTCAATAACAAAAATACATGCCATTTTTTAATTCCAAGCTTTCAATAGCTTTTTAAATATACAGATTTAAGATTTAATTAAATCATAAGCTGTGATTTAAAATTTCTTTATCATGCACATAATAGAGGGAGTGTTAGTATATAATATTTTATCAAGCATAGTGATCGAATAATGTATATATTATTAATATCATTGTATGCATGATTCAAGAATAGAAAATTTCTTAACCATAGCTCGTGATTGACTGTTAAAAATTTTTTGTTATATTCAAAAAACTTGCACAGAATAAAAAATTGCATGCATTTTTATTATTTAGTCTCTCACAAAACTGCAATGTTTTTGTGCTCAAATTTTATGACATACAGGGTGTTTCAGAATTTGCGGATATGGACTCCATAGCATGATTGTTCGTATCAAAACCAACAATTTTTTCCTCTGGCAAAAGGAAAAAGTTGTTTTGATACGAACAATTACACTGTGGAGTCCATATCTGCGAATTCTGAAACATCCTGTATGTGATAACTTACATAAGAAATGTAATCGCGCTATGTGCCCATAATATAACATACCTTATAATTCTAGCAGAAACGCGTACAGCAAAGAATCATCGCTCCCTATCATTTTCCCTATATACATATACACATTCCTAATAGAAACATTATTCGCGAACGGTTCAGCTCATTTTTAAAATGACGAGTCAGAAGGTTCGCAACAAAGTCATAAAGTTTCATACCTTACAGTCTCTCACTCTTGTTACCCTTTTTTTTTATCCATCTTTCTGTTTCTCATTTTGGGACAGCTTAAAGGTAGCAGAGTGTAAAAAAGGATGCAAGTTTTTGCGTGGTTGCTTGTATTCGTTAACTTCATTTATACAAAAGGGTCTTCTAAATAAAACTACATAAATTCGGAGTATTGGACGCGTTATCGGAATGCATAGATTCATTCTTCTCTCTCTCTCTCTCTTTCTCTCTCTCTCTCTTTTTCTAATTGCTTTCCTTAGAGCGTATCTTTCCCCTCATCTGCTGTCTTTTCTTAATAACGAGGCGGAAGAGCACTGGATACTCGCATTTAATTCGTTTTGTTTATAAAAGACGCGTACAATGAGTGCATACGCAGTGGCAGTTTTTTCATTTCTTTTTCTAATCCCTTTATATTCCTTTGCGTCTTTTATTATTATTATTATTATTATTATTATTATTATTATTATTGTATTATTATCATTATTATTTAATGTCGCATATCTCGTAAAAATACGAATTTAAAAAACCATGAAAAGAGAAGTATTTTAAATACTCACAAAACGAAAATTTCCATTAAAAAATTACACGATTAAAAAAAAATTTCTAAGTCTTTTTATTCAAATATTTTTGGAACCAAAAACTCTCAATGATCTTAGTTTTTGTATGTCTGAATATCAAAAAGATTTGATCTTTTTTTTATCTAATTAATAACTATAATGCAACTTTTTAAGCTGAAACTTTCCTTAAAACCTTGATTTCCATGTAAATTACATCGACACAATTTCAAAGATATCATTACCAATTTTTCTTGTCTGGGGAACTCTTGCAACAGTCCCAAAGACTTATTTTATTTCAACAAAAAAACGGATATTCTTGCAGAATAATCATGTCAGAAACATTAAATCAAAACTTTAAAACACATACACACGCACACAGAAGACATGAACAGTGTGCGATATCGATTTTTGTCCACGATCGACGCGGATAGATAAATTTGCGAGGTATCCGACTCATTCTCTTCCTCAATGGATTGTACTTTTATAAGTCGACTAGCGCTTGTAGCGGCTGCTAGCTTGATTCACTCGAGGTGGACACGCGCAGCTGACGCTTGCTACGCCTTTGGGGATGCGAGTGGTCCTAGCTGCTGGTAGAAGCAATAGGACTGACCGGGCTGAGAGGACTACGCGCCGAATCCCTTAGAACACCAGTTAGCGTTACCACAAGTTTGCGACTGCCAGCATGATCGCGATGTTCGCCTAACCAAATGCCTTGCCATGTGCCTAGCGCCAGTTTGCCATCGGTGATTGGGATGCTCAGTGATGAGCCCAAAAAACAAGCCTTTACATGTGCCGGCTATAAAACATTAGAAATAATTGTTATTGTTTTACTGATGTTCCAAATTGTTTTGCTCATTTGAGAGAGAGAATCAGAGAAATTTTTTAAGGAAGTCTTTTTAAATATTTATGAGAGACACGCTCATTACAATTAAAAGAAAAGATTTGTTGCAATAATATAATGTCCAAGTAACAAATAATATGATGCAAATTACCTAATAATATAAAAATATATGTATATATAATATTGTAATTATATATATATATATATATATATATATATATATATATATATATATACATACAGGGTGTCCCATTTTAAGGGTGTCTTGAACAGTAAAACATCTCAAAAACTAAACCCAGCAAACAAAAATGTTTCAGACAAAAGTTGTATAATTTCGAGGGGGACATAAGATGGTACCATTGGTTTGATCTTGAAGAATTATTTGAAGGTCACATGAAGGTCACTTTCAATTTCTTAAATGGAACCTACATTTTCTCATTACATATTCTTGTAGCTTATCTCGAGAGCTTTCCAAAACACTATAATAAAATATCTTTTCATTGAGTACTTTTTGAGTTATGAGGCTTGAAATCATTTCTTAATTTTACATAAACCGTAATATATCTAGTAAAATATTCATTTTTCGATTATCTTGCCTTAATAATTTTCAATTATCTTGCCTTAATACTTAATTGTTAATTGCAAATTACATATTTTTTCTTAAAAATAACTATGTGTTTTTTTTTACACCAATTGATTCCTCTCATTATTTTGTACATAAAAGTATTAAGGCAAGATAATCGAAAAATGAATATTTTACTAGATATATTATGGTTTATATAAAATTAAGAAATGATTTCAAGCATAACTCGAAAAGTACTCAATAAAAAAATATTTTATTATAGTGTTTTAGAAAGCTCTCGAGATAAGCTACAAGAATATGTAATGAGAAAATGTAGATTCCATTTAAGAAATTGAAGGTGACCTTCATGTGATCTTCAAATAACTCTTCAAGGTCAAACCAATGATACCATCTTATGTCCCCTTCGAAACCATACAACTTTTGTTTGAAACATTTTTATTTGCTGGGCTTAGTTTTTGAGATATTTTACTGTCCAAGTTAAAATGGGACACCCTGTATATATATATATATATATATATATATATATATATATATATATATATATATATATGTATGTGTGTGTGTGTGTGTGTGTGTGGGTGTGTGTGTGTGTGTATGTGTGTATGTATATACACATACAATATATAGTTTTTACAATATTATAATAGTAGAATATTATTGCAATATAATAATATAATATTCTTATATATATAATATAATATTCTTATATATGTATTTTTTTGCTTGTTGCTATGCAATGAAATCAGAATTAATTTGTATCAATTTTTTATCATAAAATGGATATAAAGCCTACAAAATACAGGTAAACATAAATAACATAAATATGCGTGGGCAGTTTGATAAGTCAGTGACTTTTATCAGAGATAGCACTCAAATCACAGTTTAATTTTATTTCTGATATTTGCCATCTTTTTAAAGTATACACACAAAGTTTCAAGTAGATCTGTCAAATAGAAATTTTTTGACAGCGTTATAAGTGGTTAAGTTTGTGTTCTTTTGCTAAAATGGAAAAAAGTGAATTCCGTGTGCTAATAATAAAACATTACTTTTTGAGTGGAAAAACCATTAAGGAAACTGAAGAGAAATTAAAAAAATATTATAAAAAAATATATTTCTGCTCCGTTGCATGGAATAGTTCTAAAGTGGTTCACTGACTTTTTTCCATTTTTTACATTTTAGCAAAAGAACACAAACTTAACCACTTATAACGCTGTCAAAAAATTTCTATTTGACAGATCTACTTGAAACTTTGTGTGTATACTTTAAAAAGATGGCAAATATCAAAAATAAAATTAAACTGCGATTTGAGTGCTATCCTTGATAAAAGTCACTAATTTATCAAACTGCCTACAAAATACAGATAAACATAAATAATATAAATATATCTTTTTTTTGTTTAATTTTTAATACAATTCCAACAATGATTCCAAATTCGTAATATTAAACAAATTATTTGAAACTGGACGAATAAATAGAAAATTGTCTACTTGAAACAAAAAATCGAAATTTCTATATAAATCTCGAATTTTATAAATTAAATATATATAATTTATTTTATATATTTAGTTATCAACTCTATATGTGTGTACGAATATTTTATACGAACCAATTCTATATGCAATATAATTACATATATCAATGATATAACATGTTATATTACAATTATAATTAATCAATAATTTATCAGTGATATTTGTGTATATTACCTGTAATTCAATTTAAACATTTAATTTTATTGCTCTTATATAATATTAATATAACAGTATTTACTAAGACATAATTTTTTTCTTTTCTTGGAGAATAAATCTAGAGCTTTATTAATACATTGCAGATTGTATGAACTGAACTAAAAAAGGCAGTTCTTGCGCACTTCAGAATACATGCACATCAAATTGTGCATGTATTAATTAAAAACAATTACAATAAGGATCAATCTCAACTTCTTTATCTAAGGTTCCTATTCTATGTTACTCATCAAAAGCACACAAAGTACAATTCTTTTTCTATGACATTAAAGCAAAAAATTACTACTGGCATTATTACTATTATTATTGTTACTTATATCTTGCCACTCATTATCACTTGAAACATCTGATAAAATATTAGCATATAATTATAATATTGCATTTTTAGATAAAAAGTTCATTATATAATCCATTAATTGAGAAATTATCTTATCATCATTTCTATATGTTGTGTATATATGAGAAAATACTTGAAATAAAATGTTCATTTGTGATATCAACAAAATCCTTTTCTAAAAAGAAAAATATTAATAATTTTAAATGTTACTATTTTTAAACTTTTGTATGCACATCATATATAAATGTTCATCTGATAGCAATATTATATGAGAATGTTCAAAAGATGTCAACAGACATCTCTAATACTTGAAAAACCAAAGTCATCAATTCATATCTTCATCATGCAATGTGTTAATATATTATATAATTTTTATTTAGTCAATTTGTTAAAATGTACTAATATATATATATATATATATATATATATATATATATATATATATATTGAAAATAAGTATAATATAAAGTATTTATTCATTATAATATAAAGAAAATGATAAGATATATAAAAGAATATTATTTTAAAAAGTATCTGAAAAAAATTGAATTTACCATATCATCAGGCCCTTCACAGCTATGTCTATACTCCAAGCCTTCAGGAACTATTTTATTAAGCATCATTTCCATATCGTCTCTTACATCTGGATCCCAGCTTTCGTTTAACGCTAAACTAGCTGAAGTGTGAAGAACTGTAGGAAAGAATTAAATTTAGCTCTATTTAAACAAAATATACGCAATGTTGCGGTAATTATATTGATATTAAATAAATTAACTTAACTTCAAGTTATCTATAAAAACAACATAACTAGTATATTATTCAAATGGATTATCAGTAATAGATTAGTACTCACTTTGAATATGGCAGAGACCAATGGAAAACTGACAAAGCTCAGGGACTTGCCTGAGGATCTCTTCGGTGACAAGGTGAACGCCCCGATGTTGCGGTCTGAGATTAATCTTGGTCTGGAACCAGCCGGAGCCGATTTGGATACCGCGGTTAGACGAGGCCATGACTGCACAGTTGAACAATGCAAACGGGAAGGGAGGGAGAGAGGGGGGAGAGAGAGAGAGAGAGAGAGAGAGAGAGAGAGAGAGAGAGAGAGAGAGACCTGAAAATAGAAACCAGCTGATCTTCAATCACTCGGTAGATTACTTCAAGTAATCGATGCAGAATTCCATTTTCTCTTTGATATAGATAATCTATCGCGCCCCAATTTCTGCCGAGCGTTCGTTGAGCCGCGAAAAAGGTTAGGTTAAGTTAGATTAGGTTAGGAGAAAAATAGAGGAGAAAGGTGAGAAAAAGAGAAAGAGGTAAGAGAGAGAGAGAGGGAGAAGTAACCGCGTGACGTACATACGTATACAAGGTGTGCACGCACTCACGCACTCACGCATTCACAAGTATACGCATGGAACCTATCACTGCGACATCCGCCACTCACCTATACCTATATTTATTCACGGCAGTCGAAGGTAGCGACAAACGTTACCAGACCGCAAGCTTGTGATGGAAAATCATAGGATATATGTATATTTATATATCGGGTGAGTGGATAATTAAAAACGGTGAATGGGATACGGTCACATGTGCCGTGTCTTTAATAAGCGAACGCAAATGGCGGCGCCGTCGCCGTATATAGCACTATCCATAAGGGCCTCCGCACAAGGTGTTCCGTATCGCATTACGTTACGTTAAGTATAGATCGTAAATTTAACTCCGTACGTAAACTTAAACTTCAGTCAACGCACAGAAAAAATCGTAACGTAAAGATATGCCTTTACGTGCGCACGTCTTTACGTCTTTACGTACCTTTAAGGTGCAATTTCATTGACGCTAGAAACCAGCGACAAATTAAAATCACTAGACTTTCTCTAGATTCGGCGTCAATAAAATAAAGTTCAGACAGTTTCAACCATGGATGTAAGAAATACAGGACAGAGGCCGGTATTCATAGTCCGATCTTATATTTAAGATTGTCTTAAGTCTGGTCCGAGGTTGACTTAAGACCTCATTCAACCAATCAAATAGCTGCGTAGCATTTCAAGCACGAACTTAAGACGATCTCAAATATAAGATCGGACTATGAATACCGGCCATAGTCCGATCTTATATTTGAGATCGTCTTAAGTTCGAGCTTGAAATGCTACGCAGCTATTTGATTGGTTGAAGGAGGTCTTAAGTCAACTTCGGACCAGACTTAAGACGATCTTAAATATAAGATCGTCTTAAGTTCGAGCTTGAAATGCTACGCAGCTATTTGATTGATTGAATGAGGTCTTAAGTCAACTTCCAAGCAGACTTAAGACGATCTTAAATATAAGATCGGACTATGAATACCGGCCTATGAACTGTCCAGACTCTGTATTCTAGGGACACTACATGCAACCGTAGTGGAGGAGGTAAAATCTGGAGCATATAAAAAAACTTAAACAGTAAACCTAAAGGCTGTAGCACACACTTTCCATAAGACATAACAGTAAGGTTTCGACCAATCGCGTTGCTCAATTTGGCCGTCCTTAACCAAATTGAGCAACGCGATTGGTCGAAACCTTACTGTTATGTCTTATGGAAAGTGTGTGCTATAGCCTTAAGTTAACTTCGTTTAAGGCCGGTATTCATAGTCCGATCTTATATTTAAGATCGTCTTAAGTCTGCTTGGAGGTTGACTTAAGACCTCATTCAACCAATCAAATAGCTGCATAGCATTTCAAGCTCGAACTTAAGACGATCTCAAATATAAAGGCTATAGCACACACTTTTCAAAAGACATAACAATAAGGTTTCGACCAATCACGTTGCTCAATTTGGTTACGGACGGCCAAATTGAGCAACGCGATTGGTCGAAACCTTACTGTCATGTCTTATGGAAAGTGTGTGCTATAGCCTTAAGATCGGACTATGAATACCGGCCTAAGTCTTAAGTTTACTGGCCGGTATTCATAGTCCGATCTTATATTTAAGATCGTCTTAGCCCGGGTCTACAATAGGTAATTTAAGCCCTAAGCCTTAAGAAATTGACCAATCACAGTCAGATATTCTCTTCATACTTGACTGTGATTGGTCAATTTCTTAAGGCTTAGGGCTTAAATTACCTATTGTGGACCCGGGCTTAAGTCTGGTCCGAGATTGACTTGAGACCTCAATCAACCAATCAAATAGCTGCGTAGCATTTCAAGCTCGAACTTAAGACGATCTCAAATATAAGATTGGACACTGTCTAAATTTTTTTATGTGCTCCAGGCTTGACTTTATCCCATGGGTAAAATTTCCGAACGCAACAAGAAGAGGTCCCACGCGTTCAAAAGCCCTGTGACTTGTGACGTCATCAGCATCTACCAGCATCAGATGACGCTTCATTTCGCCGGCGTCGGCAGCGACCGGCTGGTGTCCGCGATCGGACCAAAACGAAGTCAGGAAACTGATTAAAAGGACACGAGTTAGAAGGACAAGAATTAAAGCGAAAGTAAGAATCTTTTATTTGTATGTGTTATTACAACCATCTCTCTTTCCTCTTTCCTTTTCCATTCTCTATCCTCATCATTACTCGTCGCGTTTCTCTCTCTCTCTTTCTTTGCGAGTGATATGAGTAGTTAGACTGCTCAAGTTTTCGAACGGAAGTGGCAAGTTCGAAGCCTCTCTTTTCATTTTCCCTAGGTCCATTCTCTTTTCCATGTCAACAATACGCGCGCTCCTGTCAAGGCCAGCAGTGAGCTACATCCCCTACGTTATCATTATTACCGGAAAATTATTCTTAATCTCATCGTTTCATTCGTGGCATCGCGAAACTCAGTCGAGGATCGGCGTGTCGAACATCCGGAGTCGGGACGAAGAAAGGAGTGGCGGAGGAAGAGGAGAAGGAGAAGGAGGAGGAGGACGTGCGGAAAAGATCGTGTTGACGTTGCTCAGCCTGAGATGAGCGACCATGGTTGCATACATTTGAATAATTTTAAAGCGGCCAAAGGTATCCAGCCATATAAAGTGATACACTCGTACTTTGTCACTAGTACGTCAACCGAGGCACGTGTCAGAAAGGTATGTATCTCCCTTTTTGTTTCTCTCGCGTACGATTAAATGGGATGAAAGATTCTTTATCAAGCATTTTATTCTTCATTCTTTTTCCAGAGTTGGCAAAATTCCATATTTTTTTGGATAACATCCATACTAATAATAAAAATCGATATTTTTTTAAAAGAATTAGTCTTTTCTATATTAAAAATATTAAGAATATATTAAGAATAAAACAAATATTAAGAAAACTTTTTTATTGATATTTGTCAATTGAATGTTTCTTAACTTGAGTTTTATCTCCAAAATAAAATTCACAATGGATTAGGAATTGATGTAGCAAATAAATTAGTTTTTTATTAGATGTTGAAAAATATATCTTTGGACTGGACCTATATTGATAAAAACTTGTAATTCTCTTACTATTATACATTTTTCTTATTAAATTAGAAATTAATATAAAATTTAGTAACATTTATTCCTCTAGTTTATGTTTTAAAGAAGCTTGTTTTAAAAATTTCACATATTTGAATTAAAAACTTATAGAAATATATTTTAAAATATATTTATTACATATGATTTAATATTACATTTGCTGTTTTTATAGTTGTTTACTAGTTTATTTAGTTAGGAAGATCCGTGATGACAAAACCAGAATTTATCATATCTTTTTTTACTTAATAGATTTTTTTATCAACCTTGAATTTTTTTATTTATTATTAAATGTTTATAGATATTCCTTGTTTCTTCCATCTTGCACATTTTCCTCTTGCTTTGTTTAAATATTTGATTTATTTGATACACATACACATTTGATGTTAGGGATGATTTAAATTATTTGATCAATCGGAACAAAAAATTTTTCTTTTTTATTTTAATTGGACATTCAAACGATTTAAAGCATTTATAATGCCAAATATATGAAGTCTGCAAATTTTTTTGTTATATATAAGTTCAGATATTTTTTATACACTTAATATTTACTTTTGTGAGATTCCTTCTAATGGTAGAACAATATATGAATATTAATATTATTATAAGTATTGCTTGTTTTACAAGTTACAGAGATAAGATGTTTAAAAATGTTTATTATGTTGATGAATTTTATAGTATTGATTACGAATTTATAATTATTAATTTTTTTATGCTAATAGAATAATAGCATATATATATATATATATATATATATATATATATATATATATCAGGGTTGGGAAGTAACGTGTTACTTATAATGTAGTTACTGTTACAGTTACTTTTTTCGGTTAATCTAACGACATTACAAATTTCGTTTGTAACGAAAAAAATAACTTCATTACATTTTTCGATAACGAGTAACGAAATTAACTTATTTAAGTTACTTTTATCCTTTTATCACTACTTTTTGCAAATTTACTAATAATATTATTGATTTTTTTGTTTTATTTTCTATATATATATATATATATAAAATAAAACAAAAAATCAATAATATTGAAAACTTTATTTTGCAGGCTGTGAGCTGTTTATGTCATATATGTAAAACACATAAAGATCGTCTACATTCTTGTCTCCATTGCATATTCTTTGGCTGCTACATCAAAGGTCACATACAAGAACATGCAAAAACAAAGAAACATTTTTTAGGTAAGGGAATATTTTTTTAATTTAAGTTATTCTATGTATCTAAACATTATTAAAAATAGAGATAATAAATAAATAAAATTATACAATGTAACTTTCGGTTCTGCTATGTTTCAACAATTAATTATGATATCATTATAGCTGTTGATCTGTGTTATGGAAATATCTTGTGCTTCCAATGCGGCGACTATGTATATGACAGAGAGTTGTTAGCAGTAGCAAAGGCGCAATGGAGCGAGTCGGCAAAATCCTTGAGCTTCGGGGAATTCTACCGGGCGTGGGAACCCACACAGATAGAGGCAGAATTGCTCAGGAAACACCCGCGTCGAAGACGTGTCGTGGAAAATACCACTATAGGTATATAACAGAAGAACTCTTTTAGCATTGAATCTATAATTATTAATTTCTAAATATGCCAAAGTCTGAAAATAGTCGAATATTTCATAAACAATGCATTTTACACAAAATGTTTCAGAAAATGACGCATGATAATGACGCATTCATGGCAGAATGGATTTGACCATAGATAATGTTGCCAAGATCATGTCATGATCATCTTAATTTTTTTAAGTAAAAAACTATATTTTTTATTATATATTATTATAGCAAAATATTTTCAAAATAGTACGATAAAGCTCAATTCCGTTTAGTACTTTTTAAGTTATCGGTTGACAGAATTCAAGTCGGTATTAGCGTATTAGCGCTATCCGAGATGTACCACGTGAAGGTTGCTCGAACGGATTTACTCCTCTTTTGTGTGTGTGTGTGTGTGTGTGTATGACCGGTATTCATAGTCTGATCTTATATTTAAGATCATCTTAAGTCTGGTCCGAGGTTGATTTAAGACCTCATTCAACCAATCAAATAGCTGCGTAGCATCTCAAGCTCGAACTTAAGACGATCTCAAATATAAGATCGGACTATGAATACCGGCCTATGTATGTGTGTGTGCGTACACGCGCGAACACGATTGTGTGTATATGTATGGTTTAGTTGAGTAAGGCCTGGTTGCACCAACATTATTTTAGCTTTAAGCGAAACTTAAATATATGCATGTATTTATTTATTTAGAAAAAAAGATAAAGATAGACATATATTTAAATCTCGTTTAAAGCTAAAATAACGTTGGTGCAACCGGGCCTAAGTGTTCAAATTGACCTCTGTCTGCTGCTTGACAATGGTCTAACCATAGATCAAAATTATTCATAACATTTCATGTCGTTTCTGCTGGGATAAGATCGACTGGTATATTATATGATGCCTAAGACACACTCACACACATACAAAAGGTATAAATCTAATTGTACATTCTCTACGTGATACATTCTCTCGGATAACGCTAATGATGACGGTATTTGAAAATTGTAAATCTATAACTTGAAAAGTACTAAACAGAATTGAACTTTAATATGCTATTTTGAAACGTCATCCCGTCAGCTACAATAATATGTAATAAAATATATAGGTTTTAATTTAAAAAAATTATATTAATCTTGACCTTATCTTGTTTTCTAATGCCATCATCAAATATATACTGCCATTATATGTATCTTTTTATGGATGTTTTGTACCTATTTTCACAATATTAAGAATTTCATGACAATTGTACATAATGTCCTTACATATGTTTAGAATCTTCAGTACAATTTTTAAATCGAGTCACTAAAGCATTCACAAGTTATAAGGATTTTAATTTGCACCAAATTAACAAGTGTTCTTATAAACATATAATTACGTCGATTCAAATGACAAAAACCACATGGAAATAATATTCAGAATTTGTTTAAAATTTGCAAAAATATAATTTAGATACAGAGGAAATATTTGATCAAATAATATTATACAAGTACTAACTGGTTAAAAAGATATTAAATATAATTCAATGAAATTAGCCTGACACAAGGCGAAATTCTCTGCTAAAAGTTAATCATTTCGATTAACAAAATTCGAAATATTTCAGCAAAAACACAATAAATATTAAAAAATACATCTCTGCACTGTAACTAAGATTAAATTGTAATATTCCACGCAATTTCTCATACTCAAAATACACTAAAAATGGATATATTCGTCAATATTGATTTTCAGTTACTTTCTGCTGGGATTGTACATACAAAGCATTCTTAAACCTTTTATAACTTTTTTCTGAAATATTTTTTATAAATGTATTTTTACGAAATATTTTATTGTATATCAGAAGTAATGCAAAATATCTATACAAGTTTGTTTTATTTAATCACAAAATTATTTTTAAAGATGAATAATTTGGTAATAGTGATCTAAAAAAACTCACTTTATATATATATATACAGGGTCTACCAAAAGTGTGGAAACCCCTAAATATCTCGGAAAATATACGTTTTACAGAAAAGTGTTTCCAACAAAAGTTGTAGGGTTTAAGAAGATCTATATACTGATTCTATCAGTTTGACCTTGGATGGCGTCGTCAAGGTCAGGTCAAGGTCACATTGACTTTTTTAAATAACACCCCCTACATTTGATTGCATATTCTTATAGCTTAATTCAAGAGCTTTCCAAAACACTATAATAATGTTCATTTTTATTAAGTACTTTGCGAGTTATGAGGGTTGAAATAATTTCTTAATTTTACATAAACCATAAAATATCTAGTAAACCATTCATTTTTCGATTATCTTACCTTCATACTTTTATGTACAAAATAATGAAAGGAATCAATTGGTGTAAAGAAAACATACAGTTGTTTTTAAGAAAAAATATGGAATTGTTAATTGCAAATTACATATTTTTTCTTAGAAACAACTATGTGTTTTCTTTACACCAATTGATTCCTCTCATTAATTTGTACATAAAAGTATGAAGGTAAGATAATCGAAAAATGAATGGTTTACTAGATATTTTATGGTTTATGTAAAATTAAGAAATTATTTCAACCCTCATAACTCGCAAAGTACTTAATAAAAATGAACATTATTATAGTGTTTTGGAAAGCTCTTGAATTAAGCTATAAGAATATGCAATCAAATGTAGGGGGTGTCATTTAAAAAAGTCAATGTGACCTTGACCTGACCTTGACGACGCCATCCAAGGTCAAACTGATAGAATCAGTATATAGATCTTCTTAAACCCTACAACTTTTGTTGGAAACACTTTTCTGTAAAACGTATATTTTCCGAGATATTTAGGGGTTTCCACACTTTTGGTAGACCCTGTATATATGTATATATATATATATATATATATATATATATATATATATATATTATAAATAATAATATAAAATTATTAATCTAATAAATGTTAATCTAATAAATTTAATTAATAACATAAAAATCTATTTTGTTTTGGCTATAGGTTTAAGGGGATTGATCAATCTTGGACAAACTTGTTTTATGAACTGCATCGTACAAGTGCTGATTCACACTCCCTTGTTAAGAGATTACTTCCTTGCTGACCGTCATCACTGCCCACAACCAAGCCGCTGTCTGGTCTGTGAAGTATCCCATTTATTCCAGGAATTTTATTCAGGCAACAAGGCACCATTGACACTTCACAAACTTCTTCATCTGATTTGGACACATGTCAAACATCTGGCGGGCTATGAACAACAAGATGCCCATGAATTCTTTATTGCCACGCTAGATGTTCTTCATAGACATTGCGAAGCCGCTCCGATATTAGTCAAGGACAACCCTCATCATTGCAATTGTATCATTGATCAGATATTTACTGGAGGCCTTCAAAGCGATGTTGTATGTCAGGTTTGCAAGTATGTTAATTTTTCATCTTTAGAGAAGGTATATCTCTAGTTGGTAGGGATAATATTATATGTATAATATTATATATATTACATAAATTTGTTTCAAAGCACTTCATTCTTTGTTTTAGTGGAGTGTCTACGACAATAGATCCATTTTGGGATATATCTTTGGATTTGGGTCCTGCTGCTGATAGCTCTGGTTCCGATAAATCTGGGCTTCCTACTTCCCTATTGGATTGTTTGGAGAGATTTACTAGAGCTGAGCATCTGGGTTCTACCGTAAAGATCAAATGTAGCAATTGTGAAACTTATCAAGAAAGCACAAAGCAGCTAACAATGAAGCAACTGCCAATTGTGGCCAGTTTTCATCTAAAACGATTCGAACACTCTAGTATCCAGGATAAGATATGTAAAAAGGAGAAAATCTCCACATTCATCTCTTTCCCGGAACAATTAGACATGACACCATTTATGTCACACAAGCGTAATGGTAATAACAATAGCGCTATGATAGATGGTTTATTCAAGAACGGAGAAAATCTGACTTTCAGTGACAATAGGTAATAATAATGCCACATGAAGTAATTTATAATTTTTCTTTGTTCCCACTCGTTTAGTCAAGTATCGTTTTGAAAAAGGGTACATTAAATTAAAAATATCTAATTGCTAACAACAGGTACTCTCTGTTTGCCGTGATAAATCACAAGGGTTCTTTAGAGACTGGACATTATACTGCTTTCATCAGACAACAGAGAGATCAATGGTTCAAGTGTGATGATCATTTAATTACAAAAGCTAGGCTGAAGGATGTTTTGACTAGTGAAGGGTAAAATAATAGACATTATAAAGAAAATAAAAATCAATAATCTAAATTCATTAAATTTTTTCTGTATTCTTTTTATTGAATATGAAAAAGAAAATCTTAATCATTATTAATTAAAGTTTTTGCTTTTCAGATATCTTCTATTTTATCACAAACAAATTTTGGAGTACGGCCGGAATAATAAAGTATGAGAGAGAGAAAGAGAGAGAGAGAATGAGGGAGAGAAAGATGAATCAAGTTAAATAATTTAACAAAGAATTAAAAATCGCTACCGAAGTTAGACGTCCATAATGCTTTACGTTTATCGGAAATAAATTATCGTCATTTTTTTATTTCTGCCGGTGCATTTTGTATTCAATGGGTTAAACTGATTGATTGCCCAATCGAAATCTGTATGTATGTCCTAAACATGTAAGCATAGATATTAAGATTAGCTCAATTTTTTTAAATCAACCAATTGCAATTTTTGTAAATCGCTGATTATTGTTATACTCTTGACCTGACACTTATACATGATGTGCTAGAGATCTCGAGTGCATCTCTCTTAATTTTTGCACTTCTGCCAGCGGAATGTCATATTACCGATCTCTGAAATGTTCCAATGTACTTGTGATATTGGGTTGTCAAATAGACATATAGGATATTTTTAATTATTCAATATAATATTACAAGTTTGTAACATTTTTTATATTTATGAGTTGTCATTCTTTTTTCTAATTTCTAATATAACAATTGAATAAAATGTCATACATGAAAAAACAAACAGATTTTTAATACTACAGAAATTGTTTTATTATTGAATTCGATTATTTTATATAAGATAACCTAAATTTTTGCATGCATATAGAACTAAAATATAGCATATAATTTCTTTATTCTATAATTGCTATTCTTCAATTTTGTGTACAGATGTAATAATATTACAGTGAATATAGGAATATTGTTTATATAATTCAAGACGGATGGACTTATTGCTGGATTTCGTATAATAAAAATCTCTTCAACACATTCTGTGAGTCAGTTTATTTTTACTTTCTTTTGAACAAGATGTTTTACATTTACATAAAGTGTTACAGGATGTTTTTTCTGAAACTCGACATCAAATCAAAAAATATTTCAGAAAATATTTATAGGATTTTAACAAAGGAAAAATTAATTTTCTTGAATTTTAATTAAAGTCGGGGGCAAGGGTTAATGAAATGTAATATAAAATCTCTCCTGGCCAAATGTCAGCCTTGGTCTTCCAATGGGACCTCCTGTTACCATAAATGAAGCAATCTTTTACGGGAAAAACACTCAAAAAGGTACTCAATCTGAATATTATTAGAGACCCTCTAATAATAAGAGTCTGGCCATCAGGGGATCACTTTTGATTGATCCGTCATTTTTATGCAATTCCCGCTCATATTCAAATTTTAATTACTTCATTTTGAATATAAATGATATTTAATAATATTATAAATGATAATAAATATTATAAATAAAAATTATAATAATAATATTATATATATAAAAAATAAAATAAAATAAAAAATATTATATAAATTATAATAATAAATTTTATTTGAATGTTAATAATATTAATATTATAAATAATAATAATTAAATTATAGTAATAAATTTTATTTTATTAAAATATTAAATATAAAAAATTATTTTTACGATTTACATGACTTCATCCATTCAACACAACGTTTGGCATCTCTAGGAAATACTCGCATCAAATATCCTTTTGCAGACGAATTACTGCAGAATTCTGCTGACACCCATTTTGCTATTACTTTTTAACGCAAGATACAGGCTGCGGTCAAGACTGCACTATTCTTCTTCTAAGATTTCGTGGCGCCGGGTCTATCCGGACCCTTACGGCCAGAGGTAAGTTGTTTCAAGATTGATGCGTTAGGTTCGGTTTCCAATTTTGTTTGAGTGGTTTATATGCAGCTAAAGTTTGTCCAGTTTTTCAGTTTTTCAGTTTTACAGTCTCGGTTTCAGCTTCTGTGGAGAAGAGGATGAAGCCTGGGAAGGAGGAATATGTGTTATATATAGAAGTTGATTAAGGGTGAATGGGTGCCAGGAGGGTAAAAAAAAAAAAAAAAAAAAAAAAAAAAAAAAAAAAAAAAACGGGCTAAGGAAGAGGTAATTTTGTAGGCGAGGAAGGGAGGTCAGAAATCATGATGAGTTTAAATTTTGAGATTGTGAGAGTGTAAGAAGGAAAAAACAGAGTTGACAATAGAAGGAGGCGGATCTTTTAAGAGAGAGATTAGATGATAGGGAGGAGGTTTTTTGAGTGTGGCTTGTAGAGAAGAGAGAAGGCGAGGCCGGTTCGAAGCGAGTGAAGGACACTCCCATAGGATATGTTCAATGTCCTGTTGTGGGTATCCACAGCAACAGAGGGGGGATGCGACTATTTTGTATTTAAAGAGGTTGGCATTAAGATTGTAGTGCCCAGCACGCATACGACAGATGGTGGTGATTCTCTCTCTCTCAAGCCCAGAGTTATAGAACCAGGGCGGGTAGAAAGGGGGAGAAGAATAGTGTCTAAAATAATTTTTTCCTGTAGATACATTAGAGAGACAGTTTAAAAAGGAGGTTTTGAGACTTTCATTTGAGAGATAGAAGAGGTCGGAATAGGGTATGGTGTTAGAAAGAGTTACACCCGTACTGATTGCTCTTTTAGCCAGGAGATCGGCCAGACTGCACTATGAATGCTTCGAAACATCATTCTACCTTTATTCTCATGGAGTGTAGAACAAAGATACAGAAAGACAATCAGAAAGACGACATCACAAGAGGGCACGCGCAGCAACTCGAGCACGTCTAAGGAGGAGGGAACCCCAAGGCGTCCCTCATGGACGTATGTAAGAAATACTGGACAGGGTGTATTACTGCAGGGGTGAAGCTCAAAGGGTGAGGGGAAAGAAATGTCTACTGCAACGGAATATGAGGCATGTAAGGGTGCGTTCCGTTTCTCGCATTCAGCGCATTCTGAATGCGCAGGAATGACGTCATTGTACATCGCATTGAAATTGTTCCGTTTTGCAATGCGCGATATTAGCACTGCATGATAATGCGCGAATAATGCCAGCGCATTAACTCTGCATTAAGGTGCCTTTACATGGGAGCGTTTTAGCGTCGAGCGTTAAAGCGTCAAAAAGTGTGACATGCGCAGTGTGCCTAGTGATTTGTTGAAACGCTGGAGCAGTCAGTAAATCATCTAAATTGCGGAATATTATCAAATATTATCATTATTATCAATATTATCAATATTATCATTATTATCAAATATTATCAATAAAATGTCAGTTAATTATCGTTATCATCAATGGTTATTAGAATGTAGCAGCATTATTAATCATGAATATAAGAAACAAAAAAAAGTTACGTGCACACTCCACACGTTATATCCTATACAAAGAATACATTGTAATAAATAATATTCATGTTGTATTTAGAAAACATATTTATGCCAATTATTCCTTCTGTTTGGTTATGTTGTAATACGCTACTAATCGCGCAATTCTATAATATATATTGTATAATGATATCTATTATATCTATTATATCTATTATATTTATTATATATTATATATATTAATACATTTTCTATTAAGAATATACAATCTACTTACCTCTACCGTATTTATTAAAATTTTGTTACTAGACATTGTTTTAGCGGTTTTAGCGTCAAGATGCTGGAATCTGCCTGTTCAGAATTATGCGCAAGGGTGCTGCGCACGTGTTTTTGACGCTCGACGCTTGACGCTAAACGCTTCCATCTAAAGACGCCTTTAACTGCTTCTACTCTGGGGTAGAGAACCTCTAGGAGAGAGAATGGACAACTGATCATGTGACATGTGATCAAGCTTTTTCATGATTGGCTGGCAGAAAATGTATCAATTTTAGCTATTGCGACGCCAATGCAAAATATGATACACACAAATAGGTTAATATATGTGTGTCATGTGTGTCCTATTTGTGTGTCATCATATTTTGCATTGGCGTCGCAATAGCTAAAATTGATACATTTTCTGCCAGCCAATCATGAAAAAGCTTGATCAGTTGTCCATTCTCTCTCCTAGAGGTTCTCTACTCTGGGGTAGAGGCACATGATGTAAAGTTAATGCGGAAAAAATATGGCGAACTATGACGTCATATCGCTTTTCGATGCGCGCATGGAAACCGCATTGAAGGAAACGGAATGTTTAGTTAATGCGATAATGTGTTCAATGCGTGAAACGGAACGCACCCTAAGATGGCGACGGATATTAATTTCACGGAGTGTGATATTTTTGAATTTCTTAATATTCAGAAATGATTCGGAATAACACAGCGATTTCAGGTGATAGATGATTACACGGAATCTCTCATATTTTATTCGGGGTGTTTACGACAATTAATCGGATCTCTGATCGGACTGAGCAGTGATACTCAGCGATAGACTTTCTAAATTTCCCTAGATCCCTAATCCGGATCAATGATGTGTCTCTGAAGTAATCGAATTAGATTAACAGTCATCGAAAAAAATTGCGGTCGAGCTGATCGAAAAAATTGTGAAAAACATCATAAGAAATTATAGAAGATACTTTATTATTCTTTTAATTAATATATCTTTATTTATCAATTATATATTAATAAACAAACGTATTTTACTGGAATAAGATGTTTTCTATAAAATACGAATAAGTTGTTAATCTAATTCGATTACTTCAGAGACACATCATTGATCCGGATTAGTCTAGGGAAATTTAGAAAGTCTATCGCTGAGTACCACTGTTCAGTCCGATCAAAGATCCGATTAATTGTCGTAAACACCCTTTGATTGGTCAATTCCTTAAGTTATAGCTTTAATCCTATTGCCATTGGGTGCTTTCCAGCTATGGTAACACAGTGATACACTGTGTGACACAGTGTTACACAGTGTCGACTTGTAGCTGGAACGCTTTTTAGCTTTCTTATTTTGCCACTAGAGTGCAGGGCAGTCACTTTTAATAGTTGTCACTAGGTCTAAATTTTCAGAACGTTCCCACACAACATTATGTCGTCTTAAAGACGTCTAGATGTCTTTAAGTCGTCTTTTTATCGAATATAAAAGTTTGGTTATCTTCTATCACGCAATACCATTCTTAAAAAAATTAATGATACCAAATATGAAATGTTATGTTGGCACTCACTGGGGTGCTACAAAACGACGACACAGGCGAACATAGCATTTTTGCTGTGTACGATTGTGTCGACTTGTGTCGTAGTTGGAAAGCACTTGTATCGACACTGTAGCGACACAGTGTCGCCTGTGTTGCTTGCTGGAAAGCACCCATTGTAGATGACGTGTAATGGTGCGGTCCCATGATACGGAACGTATGCGCAATGCGGAATTGGAGGAACGAAGTTCGTCCAATCACAGATATTCCGTCAATTGCGTTCCGTTGAAATATATTTTCTTATGTCCCATGGAGCGGAAAACGCGGAAGCGCAATTGGTGTTGGCCAATCACAAGATTCTTTCCCATAGATTTTTTTGTTGTCTATATCGGAACAGCGTACATTATTGGCTCGCGCAAATTACGCTTCCGTATTTTCCGCTGAATGGGACATAGGAAATACAAATTTATGCGGATCGGATTCACATATGTATGTCAAAAAATTCATGAATTTCATATATAATCTTCAAAACTGACAACAACTTAATATTGAATATGGATTCTGAAAAATTGTTTATTATTATTTGTGGATTGTTAAGTAAATTAAAACAAAGTTGGTGTATATTTAAAAAGAATGAATTACGCCGTAAGATTATAAAATTATATTCATTGTATATAATTGTAAAAAGAAATGAAAATATTAAAAAACGACGAAAATATTGGGTGCGACCTATATTCAACTTAGAAAGAAGATTCCAACAAGGAGCAAGTGAGAATCTTGTAAAGGAAATGCTGATCGAAGACACAGAAAAATATATGGATTATTTTAGAATGGCACCTCAATTATTTGACATATTATTAGCATTAGTTGGACCATTCCTTGTTACACTTTTATTTAAAATATTTTTTAATAATATTCTTACTGATATCTGCTGTTTCGACATTTTTCATCATACACACAATTTCGAAGTTCCGCACAAAATGTGTATAAAATAGAAACTTGCGGATAGAAATCGGCGGAACAGACGTAAAACAGGTTAAACCAATCACGAGCGTTCCGCCAATTCCGCATTGCGCATACGTTCCGTATCATGGGACCGCACCATAAGGAAGTTAGCAGTCTAATTATAATAGAGCACTAAATATACAGGTATTCTATACTCCGCCATTTTTAATCCATTCCCCCTCCTTGTTTCTCGTGTCACTCGCCTCGTCGCTAAGCTGAGATTATAGTAGATAGGTTAGTGAGATTATATGGGGTGGGGAGATGGATTAAAAATGGCGGAGTATAGAATACTCATATATTTAGTGCCTTAATTATAATATAGAAGGCTGTTCTTGTGTCGCCGTGTGCTTAAACTAGTGTCTAGGGATATCTCAGGGAGCTTTCCAATAACGACACAGAGCGACATAGAATATCATTCTATCTTTGTTGTTTATTGATATTGAAAGAAGATAGAATGATATGCTGTGTCGCTGGAAAGCTCCTTCAATTGGAAAGCACCCTGGACGGTAGCGTGGCCGCTCTCAGGCTTCTTTCTAAATAATAATAGTATGGAAACATATGGAAAGTGTAATTATGAAGAGAAAATTATGAATAAAGATTTAAAATTTACAAGAATTTATAATTCTATTTGTTTATGCAAATTATTCTGCGTTTAATATTATTTCGATAAATGGCATGGGAGAAAAGATGGACGCTTTAACGTTAGGATCACATAGGTAAAGTAGTCAAGAGATTGACGTGTATGAATTTTCACATATCTTATATGAAATGTGTCAGGTAATAATTATCCTTTGTAATAATTCATCCTTTCCAGATTGGTCCATCTTGATTTAAAAGGCGCACCACCACGAACTTGTTATTTCGAAAAGGTATACATTATTCATAAACGCTTAACCTTATTTCACTTAGATGCATTTTAGAAAATTTTGATTAAGAAAAGTTTTTATATGATGAATATGAATAGTTTTGTGCCATTTGATGATAATGGATACATTTTACTGACTTATTTTTTTTATTATGAGTTATTTTGAACTTGCATTTGTTTATATTTAATGTTGTTATAAATATTATACAAATAGATATCAAATATATCTCTAGTTGATATTTAATTGTGTATGATATACAAGAGAACATGAAGAAATTCTGTATTTATGTTTAAATGACATTTATGAAAGATTGATATTTTTAATTTTGAATAATCAATATATTTTGAGTAATCATTATATTTTGAGTAATCAATATATATATCGAATAATTAATATGAATATGTAAATTAATATGTAAAAGATAAAAATAGACAATTACTTTTAATTTACAATAATATTACTTTTTCCTTTAATTTTAATTTTATGGATTATAACATAATTTTAATCTCTTGGTACAGTTACCAATGATATTTAAAAAATAAATGATATTGGACAAATAAATAGTTACTATCAATTATAACTTTCTTTTTTTTTATTTTCTTATTTTTATTCTTTTAATTTAATAGAATATTTGCAGCTTTTCCCATTATTGCAAACATGGGGAGCTACTGGATTACTGCTGGAATGGGAGGATACATTTCCTTACAATCGAGAACTCTCTCCAATAGGAAGTAATGGACCAAGCAGTTTAGCAAGTGGATATACAATTCAAGAAGCTGGACATATCCTGCAAATAGCAGGTGATTGTGGTTTGGCAGTTATTCCATTGGTACAAACTTTTGGTCATATGGAGGTATATCATCTCTCATTTATTTTAATTTATTTGTTTTATATAAAACTAATTTATTATATATAATTATTTAATATATATATTATATATTTACTATTAATAAACTCTTTTATATTTTCTTTATTTTTGGAATCATAATTTAAAATATTGTTTCATAGATTTGATTTACCATTATCTATTACAATTTCAATTGCAGTTTATCCTGAAACATGATGAATGGAGATCATTACGTGAAATAGAAGCTTTTCCAAGTTCCATTTGTCCATCAAATCCAAGAACTCTACCATTGATCAAGTCATTAATACGTCAGATTGTTAGTTTTCATCCTGACATACAATATCTACATATAGGTTCTGATGAAGTATGGCACTTAGGTCTTTGTTCAGTGTGTACTAAACGAGCCGCAGCCAGTAAATATGGCAAATCTTCATTGTATTTGGAACATATTTTGGCAATAGCCCAATACATTCAGGAAACTTATCCATATTTAAAGATTATTATTTGGGATGACATGTTGAGATCAATAGACTTACAGGTTTTAAATGGTATCTCAATAACTTATTAGCATTATTTAAATTCCTTTGTCATATAAATTCCTTTATCAATAAAATTAATTTACTTTCTTTTTTTTTTGTTTTCAGAACATTATATTGGAAAATATGTAGAACCCATGGTATGGCATTACAATCCCAGGGACAATTTTTTGTTGCCTAATGGTATCTCTTTATTCTCTCTTTTTTAATGTTATTTTTAAGAAATTTGTAGATATACAAAAATAATTATTGAATTTAATTATTGAATTTAATTATTTGCTAGGATTGTGGGATAAATATAGTGCAGTCTTTCCCAATATCTGGATAGCAACTGCATTCAAAGGAGCCACTGGTTCCACACAACATGTACCTGTAATTCGACATCATATAAGTAATCATGAAAAATGGCTAGAAGAATTAGGAGTTCATGTGAATAAGATACATGAATTTCGAGGTACAGCATTTACTGGCTGGTCAAGGTAAAAAAATCAGAATAATTACTGCACACTATCTTAAAACATGATAATTACAATTATAATTTTTAGATATGATCATTATGCTACAATGTGCGAATTGTTGCCTACAGCTATACCATCATTAGCTTTATGTCTAAAGGTTTGGCTCTATGGTTATTCAGAAGAGACACATGCACAAGTTGCAAAGAGCTTAGGATTTATTGATCATCCATTGCATATAATACCACAACCTAGACCAATCCCAATACCTAATAATTTGTTTTTTCCTGGATGGCAAATAGCTGTAGGAATGGAGTGGTTTCTTAATTACAAAACGAAATTTCATAATATTGTTGCCAGCGATCAGTAAGCATAAAAAAGTGGTTTATATATTATAATATAAAGTTTTAAATATTTTGCCATAAAATAATTTTTAGTTATTTATTTGTATACTATTTATTTGAGAAATATTGCTAAATATTTAAATATAAGACACAAGAAAGATTTTTTAAATATAATAAAATATTTTTTTGAATATTTGCAATTTTAAAAAACTGAGAATGTATGCATTAGATCTCAATTCTATTCAAAAAGTAATTGTCCTTAATAGAATTATGACGTGGATGAATCCATGGCAAGTGGCAAATAATTACACAAATCCCATGCAATTGGAGAATTTGATACCTACTTTTACAGAGTAAATATTTTTATAGTATTCATTAGCTACATAAAAATATACTATCCTTTGCAAATTTCTTGGCATATTGTATATCTGATGTATATACATTTATTTCAGATTATTATTAGAATTGTCTTCATTGGAGGGTTATTTACGAGTTCAAATGGAAGCGATTTTCTTCTCATCAATGATTGAAGAATGGTTAGGCACCAATATTCAGCCGCTAAAAGCAAAATTAATAGAACTGAAACAGACAACAGAGCATCAACTAAAAATAAATAATCGTGTATAGTATTTTTTTCACTTGAATATCAGTACTAAATTTCGGATATATCATCCTTGAAAAGCAATCGTCAAAAGTTCTATTAAAGAGATAAATGATAATTAATCAGTTCACTAGTACACCCGAAATCAACGTTTTATGCCAAAACTGGTGAGAGCAAATAAATTCGTATTTTACATAAAAGTTTATCTATAAGGGATCTATAATCTTTTTTGCGTCGCTGGTGATGAATCAAGGGTCGAAATTTCAAAATTCAAATTCATTTTGGCGAATCCAATATGGCGGATTAATTTTGTTATTTCATTATGGAGAAGATCAAATTCGACATGTTCGCGTTTCTCGAGTCTTTTATGATGAATTTGTAGACAAAATTGCAAAATTTAAACTGGCAGATCCAATATAGCGGTTTATAGTTATAGTAGCGGATTAACTTTAATATTCCATTATGGAAATATATCGCTCGGTCGCTTTTCGGTCACAAATAACGGATTAGTTCAAGATATTCCAACTTTGTTCACGTACGCACGCACGCATTTTGAGTACATACTCAAGACTGGTATAATATCTTTTGAATCGTTCATACGAATCTAACGTCAAGTTTTCAAAAAAAATCCATTTTGAATTTTAAAATTTCGATTCCAAATTTGTCATCAACGACCCGAAAAATGTGGGTGTATTAAGTTTCATGCAAATCCGTTGAAAATTGGCAAAGTCATTCAGTGGCCATATATGGGCTATTACCAGTTGTGGCACATTTTTTTTTGCTATATATGGGTCATAACCAGTGAACTGGTCAATGATTAGATGATTAATTATTTTTTGGATGTAGAGAATAATTATTTTTATATATGGTAAGTTATTGCATATGGAATGTAAGATAGTTTACTATTTTAACATTTTACTTCTACTACTTTAGCCTATTTTTAAAGAAAATCATTGAAAAATAAATACAATATAATAAATTTTCTGAAAAAATTAGATAAATCTGCATAAAAGGGAATTCCTCTCATATGACTTTGATCTTGATATGTTAAAATCATGACCCTGAGTCTAAAAGATTAGATCGTCGCACGTTTATTAAAAAGTTATTAAAAAAGTTATTAACAAAGAAAGTTTGATGAATTATATGAAATTTTTGGACATCATGTACGTTATATTTCTAAACTAAATTTCAGTTTTAAATTAGAAATAGATTTGGGTTAAAATATATCTTCCGGAAATGAAGTCCTTCCTCGCCTATGAAGAGGGGCTCTATTTTCCAGGAAGATATAATCTAACCTATTTCTGATTTAAAACTAAATTTCTATCAAGTATATTTCTTTTTTAACGTATTTGTGTCGTAAAATTGTTTTATTCATTAAACTTTTTTTGTTAATAACTTTTTAATGAGTGGTTAAAATTTTTTTATATTCAAAGTCACTCAGAAGGACACTATGTCTAGGTCAAAATCATACGAGGAAGTTCTCTTTCATGCAGGATTATAAAAAATTGTTACTATTGGATACAAAATATTAGAGAGAGAGAGAGAGAGAGAAAGTAAAAATTTCTGTTTTTTTTGGAATGTAAGATGCTCTGTGATACTTGGCTATGAAAGGGAAACTATGTTTAAATACATAAGTGATATTTGATAATTATAAAAAATTGATAATTATTATCTATTATGAATGTAATTTATTTCAAATAAATATAAATATTTAAGAAGTAAATTTCTCCTAGTGTAGATTAAGTAACAATCTAACAAGATTATAATCACACAGTAATGATATGAAATTATATATATTATTAATTATACACACACACAATAAAAGATAATATTTATGTAATTTTATTTACATTATTTAGAATTTTTATTATATAAATAGATGTATAATCCATTTATATTTATTATTCATTTATTTATTATAAATTTTACTTTAGTTATGTAGATAACATTATATATCATGTATATTTCATAATATCTAACAAATAAAAAAGTTTTTGAAATTTTATAATCATTTCAATATGACATACTATATATTTTGTACTTTTTTTATTTATTATATCATGTATATCTCATATCTAACAAATAAGAAAGTTTTAGAAATTTTAGAATCATTTCAATATGATATACTATATATTTTGTACTTTTTTTTTATTTGTTAATGATAAACGATACTATAGCTATTTATCTTTAAACAATTGTTAAATATAAGCAATAATGTTTTAATAGAACATTGTATAAGAATTAGAAATAATGTAATCTCTTTAAAAAAAACCTTACAAAGGTAAAAAAACGTCAAGTACATAAATAATATTCTATCTTGTATGCAACAAAATAAAAAATTTAATAAAAAAAGTCCTTAAAAATAATTTACAGTACCCGTACAGAAAGTAATTGGTATTAGATATCCTTCATGGGCACTAAGGATGTCCATGAATATAAGAAAAACAGTCATTAAAGATGCTGTAGATATCCAAATGTCCGCAACTGTTCCGCAGTTTCATAAATATCTGTAGAATACGTAAACCAATCTATCTATAGTATCTTGTAGACATTTGTACAATATTCAATGGATATTTATATAGATACCCTATAAGCACACAATATTTCTAGGATATTGTATAAATATTATTAATTGTTAATAATATTTATACAATATTTTAGGAATATTGTGTCTTATAGGGTACATTTATTATTAATATAAATACATTTACTATTATATATTGATATTTATTTTTGCATGAATATTTATTCTATCTTCTATAATACATATATAACGGAATTCGTCATCAAAAAACATTAACCGTCTGCGATTAATTTTTGGAGCTCTGCGGATCCTCTTACAAAAGATAGAAGAGATATGGCTACAACAGTCTTTGAGCCCTTTGACCCAATAAGCCATGACTCGTGGGACTAATGCCGCGGCCATATATACTGTCTTAGATGGATCCCACTTTCGGGTTAAGATGCGGCCTCATTGACGCTAAAAAGTAGCGTCAACCATTGGTTGAACAATGAAGCAACTATACTTACCTCCTTGTTCAACCAATGATTGACGCTACTTTTTAGCGTCAATGAGGCCGCACCTTTAAGGTGCCTTTAAATAACCTCATTTACCAGTCTTCACCTCTTACAATATATTCGGATGTCTAAATCTTACGTGAGAACTCTTGAAAAGTTCTTTTAAAAGTCATATTGCTGTGTGGGTAGCTACCAAAGATATATCCAATGGATATTCATATATTTCCACAAGTTTCACATTTTGCCGCTAAGTGAAAAGGAAAACGTCTAAAGATGCGGCCTCATTGACGCTAAAAAGTAGCGTCAACCATTGGTTGAACAATGAAGCAACTATACTTACCTCCTTGTTCAACCAATGATTGACGCTACTTTTTAGCGTCAACCATTGGTTGAACAAAGAGGTAAGTATACTTACCTCTTTGTTCAACCAATGGTTGACGCTACTTTTTAGCGTCAATGAGGCCGCATCTTTAGACGTTTTCCTTTTCACTTAGCGGCAAAATGTGAAACTTGTGGAAATATATGAATATCCATTGGATATATCTTTGGTAGCTACCCACACAGCAATATGACTTTTAAAAGAACTTTTCAAGAGTTCTCACGTAAGATTTAGACATCCGAATATATTGTAAGAGGTGAAGACTGGTAAATGAGGTTATTTAAAGGCACCTTAAAGGTGCGGCCTCATTGACGCTAAAAAGTAGCGTCAATCATTGGTTGAACAAGGAGGTAAGTATAGTTGCTTCATTGTTCAACCAATGGTTGACGCTACTTTTTAGCGTCAATGAGGCCGCATCTTTAGACGTTTTCCTTTTCACTTAGCGGCAAAATGTGAAACTTGTGGAAATATATGAATATCCATTGGATATATCTTTGGTAGCTACCCACACAGCAATATGACTTTTAAAAGAACTTTTCAAGAGTTCTCACGTAAGATTTAGACATCCGAATATATTGTAAGAGGTGAAGACTGGTAAATGAGGTTATTTTCGACCGTAACCCAGATGAACCTATGGTCAGGAAGCCGGAAGGGATGGTACGCGCTTGCGGGCAAAAATAAGGCAAGAAAACACACGATTAAGCAAACGATCCTTTATATTTTGTACAACTCTGTACAAAGCCGTTTTTCGGCCACGCGTCGTACACGTTCGTCGTTCTTCGCGTCCCGGAACAAAAGTGCGGTCTTTCCCGCGTTCGTCCCCCATACCTTTTTCCAGCGGCCACACCGTTTCCGTGGCGCTACGGTCGCCAACGGCGCCGTCCAAGATGTCGCACAAGGCATAGCCTTACAGCTCGGCCATTCTGACATTGACATTCGTCCCGAATGTTATAAATTATTAATTTTTAATGAACAAAACTTTGGCGCAAACGAACATAAATTTACTTAACGATTTTACCTTAAATGTAAAATTGATTAGCGCATCTTTGGTATATAAAAATGTTTTGGCTTAAACTAAAACGCAGAATACATAAGACTAGTGCATTTTAGAAAAATGAACGCAAAATAATGAGTGAACATTATCGTGAGTAGAGATCGCATGACTAGCTTAAGAGTAAGGAAAAGAATTGATTATCTAAATTAACTTAAAGTAATGTAAAATTGACGGATATAAACTAAAATTAAATACATACAGCTTGAATTTATCGCTCAAACTGTTTAAACTAGATATAAACTTTGAAAAATAAACTCTAAACTTTTTAATGAACAAACGCAACATAAATGACAAATAAACGCATATTATTCAGCCGAAGTTATCGGTTTGACCCAAAGCTTCATACGATCCGGCGACAATACAGAGTCATACGGTTTAGAAGAAATATTGAAGCCTGGGATGTCTTTAATGACGAATCTATTTTTATTTAAAACTTTAGCAACCATGTAAGGTTCTTTGTACTTTGATTTTAATTTTTTATCCTCACCGGGTTTGAACGCAGTATCCCTGATAAGTAATCTCCTTCTTTATAACGAGAAGGCTTTTTGTGTCTTTCGTCATAATAAGATTTGTTGTAATCTTTCAGTCTTTGAACGGATTCAATCGCTATTTTGCGACTATCGCTTCTCTCTTTATCATGATTGAACTCGACTTTTGCTATGTCTTTTAAGAATTCAATTAATCTAGAATCGGACTGACTAGTTTGTTCAATACCATAGAGAATTTTTGCCGGCGAGGCTCGAATCGAAGAATGGAATGAATTATTCAACGCGTATTGTATGGAAGCAATGTGGAAACTCCAAGTTTCTTGTTCCTTTACAATTTTTTTAAGAGATGCCTTGACGAATCTGTTTACCCTTTCGATAAGGCCATTAGCCCATGGGGCCGCTACCGCGACTAGACGGTGAACAATTTTATGGTGTTCTATAAATTTACCAAACTCTTGCGAGGTAAATGCAGTTCCTCGGTCTGTAACTAAAGTTCTTGGAACTGCTACTGTTTGAAACAGAATTGATAAACATTTCATGGTCTCTTTAGAGGTTGTTGATTTTACTGGAAAGAGCCATGTAAAACGTGAAAAAGCATCGATAATTAGAAATAAATGCTTAAAACCGTCCGCAGATTCTGAAATGGGGCCAAAATGGTCCGCGTGCATAATTATAAACGGAGCTACCGGAGATTCTGTGATCTGCATATCCCCTTCTCGCGGGTTTGAGCCTGTATTTGCCATTAGACAAATTAGACAATTGTCGATATAATTTTGCACCCTTTTTCGCATCGACGGGAACCAATAATTATTTCCTATGCCCTGAACAGTTTTTTCAACTCCACCGTGTGCCATTTCATCGTGATATGCGTAAAATGTTCATGATCATTGACTCAGGAATCACGAATCGGGGTTTATCTGGACCCTTTCTAAAAACAAGACCTTCAATTAAGTCGAACTTCTCGTGACTTTCGAATTCTAAATCTCTAGCTAAAAATTTCAATCGGGGGTCTTGCAATTGTCTGTATTCTAACTCTTTTTCGAGTGGCAGAGCCTCAACTAAATTGACAACGCGACTAAGCGCATCCACATGCGCCATTTTTTTACCCTCTCTATGGATGATATTAAACTTATAATTTTGTAGTTTTAATATCCAGCGAGCAATTCGAGGATTAATATTCGCCTTGTTTACGGCGTGAACCAACGCGTGGCAATCTGTGACGACAGTGAAAGACAAACCGTACAAATAAATGTGAAACCTTTCAATGGTTTTCACAATCGCGAGCATTTCCAACTCAAAGCTGTGGTATTTGCTCTCAGCTTGGTTGGTAGCCTGACTGAAGTAGGCAGTAGGTGACCACAAGCCCGATTTTTATTTTTGCAGTAAAATGCCTGCGATTGCTATCGCACTTGCATCAGTGTGGATTTCTGTATCCAAAAATGGATTATAAATGCTCAAAACCGGAAACGTAATTAGCTCGTTTTTTAATTTATTAAAGGCTTCAAGGCAATTGCTGTCGAAATCAAAAGAAATAGATTTTTTAAGTAGATTATGCAATGGTTTTGCTTTGGAAGCGTAATCTTTTATAAATTTACGGAAATAATTCGTGAGTCCCAGAAATCTTTGAACATGAACAACTTTTTTTTGGAATCGGAAAATTCTTAACAGCATCAACATGACGTGAGCTTAAAGTAATGCCATCCGTTGACACAATGTATCCTAAGTATTCGATTTTTGTTTCTAAGAATACGCATTTATTATAGTTTATTTGAAAATTATGCCTTTTAAGTTCGATAAGAACTAGTTTGAGTGTAGATAGATTTTCAGCAATGGAAAAGGATGGTATCAGAATATCATCTATGTATACGATGATTTTATCGTCTTTAATCAATGGACGCAAAATCTGGATTAGACGCTTTTGAAATTCTGCAGGCGCCTCACAATATCCAAAGGGCAACCTAGTATACTCGAACTGCCCGTCTGGTGTGGCAAAAGCAAAATACTTGGTAACATCCGGATGCAACTTAATATTATAAAAACCATCCTTGAGGTCCAACAACGTGAAAATTGATCTGTCACTCAATCGGGATAAACAGTCCTCTATCAACGGAAACGGATACTTCTGTTTAACCACTCTGCTATTGAGCGGACGTAAATCTACGCACAGTCTTATAGTGCCGTTTTTCTTTCTAACGGGCACCACCCTAGCGCAATAGGGAGAGGTGCTAGGTTTAATAATACCGCGATCGAGTAGGTCATCCGTGATCTCTCTTATCTTTATGCGTTCCGCCCACGCAAAACGTCTAGGAGCATATGCAAAAACGGAATCGTCTTTTAATGAAATGGTTACGAAATAATCCTGCTGCGGTGGAGTTACTTCAATGTTTTCTACTTCTTGTAATGTAGATACTAATTTTTTATAGGTGATCTGGTCCAAATCCGCTCGCAAATTCAAAAGGACGTTAGGAACAGTGGATTCCTCCACGCTATCAATAAAAGCAATTTCCGAGAATAACTCGACTTTAACTTTTTCTTCTTTGGTTCTAATTGACACATCAATCTCATATTTAGAGAGAAAATCGCGACCAATAATGAGATCCGCCGAAAAGGCATCATTTTTTAAAACGTGTAAGTCGATACTAGCCAACAGAGTAGGCAAGTCCTTGAAAATGATGCTGGTAGACCAGATACCTAAAATACTTATAACTTGACCGTTAAGTGTTTTATAACATCTACCTGGAGTTTTCAAAGAAACATCGCGAGATTTAGAAAATTTACTAAATACGGAAGCATTGATAAAAGAGATCGGACTTCCTGTGTCCACTAACGCTGAGTTATCACAGACGCGTGTATCTAATTTAACAACTTTGACCACGGGGTCGGCGAAAGACTTTTTTACAATGTTACCCTGAACGCAGGCAATCTCTGAACTCACGTCAGTCAGAGACTCGACGGCTGCAACGGAAGTAGGCTGGTTCGTAGGATGGGATGCCTTTGCCTCCTTCTTCTTCAGCTTCGGGCAATCATTCCGTATATGATCCTTGCCCCTGCAGTAAACGCAGTGGAGCTCAGCTTTCCCCGTCTTCAATTGTAGAGCACCCTTCGCAGATGTACTATTTGAATCGCCAGTCTTGGTGAATTTGGGATTGCCCTCCTTGAACTTTTCAAACTTGTTCACAGGGGCAACTCTTTTGAAAGAATCACCACAGTATCCGGTGATATGCTGCATCTCTCTGAGGAACTGATTAAGAGAGTCCACCCTTAAAGAAGACGCAATGCACTTGACATAAATGTCATTGATACCACTGATCAACAGCTGAATGGCATCCCCATCTTCCAGTTTCAAATTTCGCATGAGAGCCAGTTTCTCCATTGAATAGTCCTGGAAGGATTCTGATATGGGATTCCATTTACGAGCTTCTGCCCTCTTCCTGACCACGTCGTAAAGGATTTTCTTCTTAAAACGATCTGTAATGGCGGCTCTGAAACAAAGCCATGACCGATTCACTTCGCCAGAACTCAAATCAAACCAACGCCGTGCCGACTTTGTGAGCTTGACGGCTGCAGCAGACAGCATCACCACTGACGAGAGCCTGTGAATCTCGGCAACGCTCTCGATCTTCTCAATCCACAGTTCAACGTCCTCCTCTTCAGAGGCACCGAAGGTGGGGATCTGTGATGATAGGAATTTAACTGAATTGCCTGCTGGTGCGGTAGAACCCTCGGCTCCCATGACATCCCTCAAATAGGGCCGATCCTGGGTGCTGGCAAATGAAGGAGTTACCACTGGTTGTGACGGCTGAGACATTTGTCCTTGATTGACAGACAGGGCAGCTAGCATTTGCTGAAATAACTGCTGTTGTTGCTTCATCGACTCATTCTGCAACTTAAGCTGTTGAGTTAATGCGGTACAAAGATGATCGAGAGTGTTTTCATTGACCTTTGTTCCCCTTTTAATTGTGTAATATTGATTAGATTGTTCCGACCTTGGACTGCCTGGGGTAGATAAAGTCGGTTGCTCCTCTTCACCAACGGCAGTATTTGAAGAATGCTGCATTTCCCGCAACGGGCCATTCGTCTTTAGATGAGCCATCAGAAGCTCGATGCACCTCGTCCTATCATCCGGTATATTTGTAAGCCGGTATCCGCAGGCCTCTTCATGAAGCTCTTCCAGGGACATCTCAGCGTACCTATCCGGTGGCGGCATGATGAACCATAGGATGATGAGGGCACTCAAAACTCAGTTCACTAACGTGACGACGAAAAACGACCGCGGGACACGTATCTTCAGGTGCGCACCACAAGAGAATGTTAATGACGCAAACTTTTTGTGACACGAGCGATTTACGACACCCTGAGCGATAACACAGATGAGAATTGCTTTAATCCGATCATCAACGACGAAAGCTCGGTTACAGAACGCGAGAAAAACGTAGATCGCCGGTGCGCGTGAGAACGCCCAACCACGCAAGAAGCGCGCGTAAAAAAACTTGAAAGTTAAGTTCACTTCCGGCAACACGCCAAGAGGAAGCCAATATGGCCGTCTTCCAAACGGCCAACGTGCTACGACGCACGTGGTCAAAATGGCGGCTTGCGTATGAGCAACAGGTTGCGCGTAGCAATGCAACCACAGCCCCGCTAGCCACGACACGACACGAGCAAGACACTTCGCGTTTACTTTAACTCTCGTAAAACCCGAAAGGCTTAAGCGGACCGACGAGCCTTTTCTTTGTCCAAAGACCCGGCCGCGCAACCATGCGAGAAAAGACCACTACCGAGACGCAGAACGACGAGACGGCCAAAAAGACAATGCGTGAACTCGTATCGACCGAACCAACAATCGCTAGAAACCCGAGCACCATTGCACGTATCACTATCCCACTTCTGAGGCTGTAAGAGGTGAAGACTGGTAAATGAGGTTATTTTCGACCGTAACCCAGATGAACCTATGGTCAGGAAGCCGGAAGGGATGGTACGCGCTTGCGGGCAAAAATAAGGCAAGAAAACACACGATTAAGCAAACGATCCTTTATATTTTGTACAACTCTGTACAAAGCCGTTTTTCGGCCACGCGTCGTACACGTTCGTCGTTCTTCGCGTCCCGGAACAAAAGTGCGGTCTTTCCCGCGTTCGTCCCCCATACCTTTTTCCAGCGGCCACACCGTTTCCGTGGCGCTACGGTCGCCAACGGCGCCGTCCAAGATGTCGCACAAGGCATAGCCTTACAATATCTTCTAAAAGAAGACTTAATGACTTCAGAAAGTAGTCTAATGCGCCACTTTAAGAAATAAGTAAGACTTCTTCAAAAAGATGTCTTAAAGACTTCTTTTCTCTGATTTCTTAAAGACGACAATATATATATATACATATATATATATATATATATATATATATATATATATAATATATACAGGGTGTATCGGACCACCTGTGCCAGCCGAATATCTCAAAAATCGAGAACGGCAGACAAAAATGTTTCATACAAAAGTTGTAGAGTTTCGAGTAACGCATTACATAGTAATATTATTGGGAGTACAAATTAGTTCGGTCCGTTTTCCAAAAGATGGCTCCGGTTGTTGCGAATGTGTGGCGTAGGTTAATGCTTTACCCTAGGTATATCGTTTGGTTGGGTCGAGACAAGGATACCTTTTTGGTATAAAATTCAGTCTTTATTCTCACCAACTTACATACGACTTAACTTACTAGGGAGCGGCCATAATCATTCTCATATTTAAGTTTTAGTTAGGAGAATTATATAAAGTTTGCAAAGAGTGTAACGATGCACCCCGTGCACCCCCTTAGATGCATCGTTATTCCCGGCATTCGATCCGGAAGCTGCCGCCCGGCAGAACACCCGCCGGGCAGAGGCAGGGGCGCGGTGCGCCCACATTTTTAAAACTGTTAACGAATAACCCGAATATCGCCGAGCGTTGCCGACGAGCCCCGATCCGGCGACCGGCGAAAAATCTGCGCTCGGCGCGCACCCCGAACCCCTCCGAGCGGGCCTCCGACCGTACCGCTTTCCGTAACGCGTTCGGAAGGGGTAATACTGCCGCGCGCCGACGCGGGCAATTAAGCCGGTATAAAAAGGACCCGTTCGGTACACTAATCACCTTTTCCGATCCGCTCTCGTTAGGAGTAGCAGCTCCGAAACCTAGACCGCTCCGAAATTAAAATCTCGCTTTCAGAAAGGAGGTAGAGTGAACTCTTCCTCTATCGAGTGCTCTCGATCCACAAAGCCAGATCACTTCCATCCGATCTTCATAAAACCGACCGAGGAACAGTGTTCCGATTAGGGATTCCGTGCGCGCGCATGTGCGGCTCTGCACTTGCGCGACCGTGAAAGTACAATGTAATTTCAAAAGTCACGCATGCGCAGAACCGCATATGCGCGCACACGGAATCCCTGATCGGAACATTGCCGAGGAACAGGAATCCGAGTGAACTCCGATTCCGTCGAGAGATCTCGACTACCGGTCTAAGATCCGACCGCCAAACGCAAGTGCATCTTTCACGAGGTAGAGAAGAGAGCTACCTCGGACGAGTCGCTCTCGTCGGCACGGTGTTCCCGAAAATCCATCCTAATTGCAAGGGGACTATTTATTTAAATCCCACGTAACCGCAGTTATTAAATTTTGCGAAATATAGCGCGCGTTCCTAACACCAGCCAGAAAGAACGCACTAAAAAAAAGGCTTTCTCGGCGTGCGTACATAAAAATGATACGCGCCGCGTCAACGGTCATTGACCGCGCCAGAAACACAACACGCGCCGTATATACCATTTAAAGGTATTGTTACGATCCGAAATATCTTATATCCGAGATACACACCATTGTATACGATCATATCAGCTTTAATAAATTCTAGCTCCTTATCGCGGCACGCTACGACGTGCATCTGCGACTCGAATAAAATTGCATAAAATAAAGACTTAGCGCCTCGCGCCGAATATCGCGCTCACACATAATTACACGCGTTCTCACATATTTACACGCGCTCACACACACAACCACGCGCACATACATACACTGTATCTCAGACACACAATAAACTTGTCTATTTTATTTCTTACACACGCTCTCGCTCATTTGCAAAACCTCGAACCCGGATTTCCGATCCCGTTGTCTATCGACGAATCGCGCGGAAATCACCCCGTGACATTGGCGCCCGAACAGTTGTAAAACCGCATTACGAGTAGAGCGTGCGAGTGAGTAATGAAAGCGTGGATATGCAGACTTAATAAAGAGCAATTAATTATAATGGCGAAGGCACTGAATATAGAAGACGCGGGTACTTTAGAAGAAATTCGCAAACGAATTAGCCCATTCGCGGAGGAACATCCCGAACAGATCGACGCGTTTGAGTCATTCGCAGGGGACTCAGGCGCCCAGGGGGCGATACCCCGGCTGACAATTCCGACACCGGCAAACGCGGAATTTAGAACACTCACTGCCGCGGAAATAGCATTTTCGTACGGGAAGACTATCAACCAGATTCGCAAATGGGGATGCCATTTCGATGGCCGAGACCCCGCCGCATTTTTAGAAAGAGTGGGGGAGTTAAGACAAGCATACGGCCTTACAGCACCGCAACTCTTGCAGGGACTCCCGGAACTACTGAAAGGGGACAGTTTGTTATGGTACAGGAATTACCGAGATTCGTGGGAAACGTGGGACGAATTCGAACGCGATTTCCGGAGGCAATTTTTGCCTCGACGATACGCGGCCGCATTACGTCGAGAAATCATGGGACGGCACCAGCAATCGACGGAAAAATTTGTACAATACGTCACGGTAATGATGACATTGATGCGTCGGGCCGGAAGGTATTCGCGAGACGAGCAGCTCGAGATTATTTATGAGAACATGAACCCGGCGTATAAACATTACATAAGAATCGACGACGTGCATAGCATAATAGAATTACAGACTCGGGCCGCGGAATTCGAGGATATAGTACAGGAACAAAAAGAGGCAGGAAAACGCGAAAAAGACAGCGCGAAACCGGCTATAGCAGCGGTATACAACAAAAAAGACTGCTGTTGGCAGTGCAAGCAGAGGAGGCACACACGCGCACAGTGTAAGAGACAAGCAAAGAAATTTTGCTCCCAGTTGTCGGGACGGAGTCCTGACAAAAGAGTGCCACCCGAAGGCGGGAAACGCCTCCGGGGCCGGGGAAAGCACAGCCGCGAACACAACCCTAAGCCCCGCATAATATTCACACCGCGACCACACGTAATGATAAACATCCACAGACGAAAATACCGCGCCCTGGTGGACGGAGGCTCGGAAATCTCGTTGATTAGTCAGATCACAGCCGAGGAATTAAACAAGGAAAGGGTAAAAACCGAAGGAAAAAGGGGGGCGGTAAGCTTAGCAAACGGATCCACGGGTGAAACGCTAGGATACATGGAACTCCCATGTCAGATAGGCAGACGAATGATCAAACACAACTTTGTCATCCTCTCACACATGGAGGACAAAGTAATCATCGGAATCGATCTGCAATATCGACTACGCCTAAGGATTCCGCCACCACCGAAATATGTGAAGAGACTACTGCCGAAGTGCAATACAATCGGGGGGCTGGCTGTACAAATTCCGGAGGAAAGGAAGCAATTACAGTAGTTCCTAGAAAAAGAATTACAAGAATTCGAGAAAGTCTACGGGTCGACTAAAAAGGTGAAACACCTCATAAGACTAAAGGATGAGACGCCCATCAAGCAAAGGTACCGGCCACGCAATCCGGCCATGCAGGCCATTATTGACAAAGAAGTGGACGAAATGATAGAACAAGGCGTGATAGAACAAGGCGTGATAGAACCATCTCATAGCCCGTGGAGTTCTCCCATCGTAATAATAAAAAAGAAAGACGGCAAACACCGGTTCTGCATAGATTTCCGCCGAGTAAACGACGTTACGCACAAAGACGCGTACCCGCTACCGCAAATTATCGCAACACTCGACAAATTAAGGGAGGCGCGTTACCCAGGGATGCCAGTTTTGGCCCGCCGCACGCTACGCACACAAAGAAGAAACTGTGTACGTGTGGCGCTCGGCGCTCGGCAAGCTTCGGGCAGTAGAAGAGTGCAGACATACTCTCTACTGTCTCCTTCCCTCTCGAGCTATAGCTATAGCTATAGCTAACGCCTCGAGAATTGTTTGTTAGCGGCATGATCCATAAAAGAATGCACATACTGTCTATTGTCTCCTTCCCTCTCGAGCTATGCTATAGCTACCCTGCCGAAAATGGTCGATTAAAACCGATTAAAACATAATCCGTTTTAATCGGTTTTAATCGGTTCAATCCGCGCCCGGATTAAAAAGTAATCGATTTTAATTCCAAACAAATTACAATCGGTTTTAATATCGCTTTCGCGAATTATTTCCAATCCGAAATCATTACATTTTAATCCATATTGTTGTCAATCTAAATAAACACGAATAATCGGATTTAATGTATAATCCAAAATAATCCGCCTAGTATGCAATTTTAATTCGTTATAATAATAGCCAATTTTTAGTAATTGAGTTGATTGTAATCCGGTTTAATCCAAAATTCATCGATTTCAAGGATAATAACTAAATCGGTTTTAATGCAATAAGAATCCAATTTTTGTGTAAGCAACAGTAATTTATTTTAATTTGAAATTCTAAGATTTTTCGGATGAAAATAAAATCGGATTTAATGCAATTAAATTGAATTTTTGTCATAAATATTATATTCGACTGTGTGTATATAAATGAAGAAACAAAATTATATTTATTACAAAGTTTTATTTATCATTGAATTTCAAATATATTCGGAGGTTTTGCATAAATATCTACAATATCCTACATCTATGTGAATAACTTTACTTTTGACATCGCTTATGGAAACTATTGAGCTGTGTACATAATCTTCTGATTCTATCCTATCCATGTACGACATATTAAACGGTTTGTTGGAACTAATTATAATTTTTGATATTTGCATGTGACATTCATTATTTAATAGAATGATGTGTATTATTTGACCATATTCGCCTGAATGTAACTGAATCATTGTATCGTTCGTCCTTCTCGCTTTGTGATACTTCTGGCTGTGAAATACAACGCCTCTAATTATGCATTTTTTATATGCTTTATTTATTTTATCACCGCATTTTACTTGATAGCATTTGCCAATGAAAGCGACATTGTTGTCATCATACGTGTCGGATTTTGATAAATGTTTATATTGAAATAAATTTGTGCAGTAGTCACGCACGGCAGATACATCACAGTAATCTACATTATCCGTTAGAAAGTGCAATATCTCCAAGGACTTTTTCGACATTTGCTGGTCAATTCCGTTTGGACCATTTATACATTGTTTTAATTTATATATATTACTTTCAAAAGGAAATGTAGAAGATGACCACAAAGGACCCGTTTTTTTTACTGACTGCACTATATGCAATAAAGTGTGCACATTAAAAGTCATCTTTTGTCGTCCATAGTACACTTCAAAATAACCTACAAACTTCAATAAATCGTATTCACACTGTTTCAGTTCATTTGCAGTTATTTCAGTTTTTAACAATACGTACAAACTATTTACAAGTAAGGAATAGTGCGTAAATGCATCCTGATTTAAAACGCCGTTAAGGCATGGCAAACTATAATACAATAGCCATGACTTTTCCGCTGATGCCTTCCACTTTGCCCGATCATGCAAAGATTCCGGAAGTCTATGAATATCTTGAGTCGGTTTTATTAAACTCAAGCGTTGGTTAATAGTATCTCGCTCGGCTTTATTCAATTTAAAACACGACTTAGAATCTGAAGCAGTCCACTGATTCCAAATGTATTTGCTTACACCACAGAGAATACCATGCATATATTCATAAGCAAATGACCAAACCATGTCAATTTGGAATTTGAGATACTGAGATATCACCTCGTACGCCCATTTCACTGCTTTTTTTTAAATCACGTACAAGTTGAACATTCTTGTGATGACTATCAGCAGTCCGTAAAGGTGGATCATGTTCATGTATGGGATATCTTATTCCATGTATTTCTGCGACGTATTCTCCGGGGTGATAGCACCAACTACAGCCATATCTTCCATTAAATTGCACTCTATTTTGCATGATTGGACGGCAGACGGAATCAACGGAACACGCTAAGGGGCAGAATTTTACAAGAATTTTTTTATTATTATTTATATTAGGACCACGAACAATAATACCGTTATTGTAAAGGTAAGAAACTTGATCATTAAATTTTAAAAAATACAAGTCCAGTAATTTACTGTTCGGTTTGTGAGTGCACATTAGTAGACCGGCTAAAAGAACGTATTTAAATCTACTCTTAGGTGGTAAACAATTTAATTATTTGTAGTGGCCAAAATCCTCGTTTCTCACTTTTAGTTAAAGGGGCGCCATCAGTACTGTAATTGAATGTTACTATGAAATTAACATCTTTCGAAATATTTCTATAAATTTCACTGTCGTAAATATCTGTTATAATATTTAAGTTATTGGCATGACTATTACTTTTTGATGAAATAAAATCGAATATCTCAGCTTTGATTGCTTCGTGAGAAAAAAGCATTTCTAACTGATATCTTACATCAAGTGACATGAAGTAATTATTGGATCTCAATGAAATTACATGTTTTTTTTTACAAGAGTCACACGTTATTGATTGTTTTATAAACTTTTTTCTCGACGTCGAATACAGAATTTTATGACACTTGTCGCAGAAATAGTAATAAACTACTTTGCTGTCTGGTGGATCGAATACTTTAGCTAAAGTATATTTGGAAATATTAATTTTTTCGAATTTTGGCCCGGCCAATAATTTTATCATGTTTATAAGCGCAGATTTTGCAACGTCTGACAGCTTAAATCGGAGTGAAAATGCGACGACTATTATCATTATGTCTCGTATTGTCAAATTGGACTCTGGAAATAATACAGTATCGTCGAATGCGATATCGTCTTCTTCACTCGTTTGCTCCTCAATACTCGTACATTCATCGTTGTCATCCACATCGCTTCCGGTAATATAACTATCTTCGTCATCTTTTTCTTTTCTCGTTTCACTTTCGTTGTCATCACAGTCGTCCGTTATTCTATTATCCATACTTTCTTCGTTATTTATTTCATTTTCATCGTCGATGCAATCTATGTCACTACTGTTAAATTTATTACTGTTAATTGTGTCGTCATTACCTCCTTTATTTCTTGCTGTCTTTGTCGTACATGGGGAATACTGCATGGTAATGTCATTCGCATCAGATCTCTCGCTGCAATCCCCAAGTTGTTCGGCAATGTTATTGTAATCGTCTCTACAAGCAGCATTTCTGATGCCTTTATGGACTCCAGTATTATCTGTATAAGAATTATATAATTTAGAATTGTAATGTAGAGTAAACCCAGTTATAAAAATTAAGCGATTGTTGTAAATAAAGTGTATTTCAGAAATGAAGAAAATATTGCGAAAGTATATATCATATGTCATATTTTCTTAACTTTTTGATATATTAGAAGTATGATATATATATTGATATATAAGAACTGATGAATGAGACATTATTCCGGTGCAAAAATTATTTCCTAACAAACAACACGTGTTACGACTTACAATATTTGCAATCCTATAACATTATTACTGAATATAATGTAACAATTATACTATTTATTTAAAAAATAAATGAAAAAAATATACATTCTTCTAGGGAAAAAAATATTTTGTGACAGAAATTTACGATTATTAGTAAATGAATTTGTTGCCAATCTGTTGGCATATTGTGCACATTTTGCTTACTGGGTCATAATAAATAAGCTATTATTGTACTGTTTTCATTTTCAAAGAAACCGTTTTACAAAAAAATAAAATCATATTAATGCACAATTCATAATATGTAGATTATGAATTTATATTATTTACTCACTTTCAATATTACAATGTCGAGCTATGGCAAGAGTTTTCCATATTGCTGATGTGCGAGATACATTGTACTCGTATAATTTTTCGTAGTTCTTGTATAAACCCATTTTATAACGTCTTATTTTTTTACGATTTTCCATGTTGGGGTATCGTCGTTATACTATCTGATATACTTTCATCTGTGCATGTGTGGTTATAAAATATTAAATCTAGTATTGTATATGCAGCGTGAAACATTATGTACAACTTATTTTTAACACATACCTGAACTAATTGTGCATCAGCAAATAGTAGAATTTATTTATTTTCTACATATAGTTCAATCATGAACAAAATTCAATCACGTGTTCCTGTTGCACCGCATCTGAATTTAGTTGAGAACGCCGCAACAACAAAAATGGAAAGAGTTCATCATAAGCGAAGAAAGGCGCAAATTGCAAAAACTGTATGTATTTCGAACAATAACACTCGTGTGACAATAATCCGATGTTACACTGTTATTATAGGCATTCGTAATAATATATTGTAAAGAATCACTAATCTTTATCCCGTGTAACCTTTATTCCTGGATTACGGTTATGTTAGGCAGTCTGCGTATGTAGTGGCTACTTCACTTTGATTATGGGCGCTTGAATTGCGACCGTTGCGACAAGCGACAACCGATCGAGCATGTGCGCGCAGGCTCGTGCCAGTCAAGACTGTCATTCATTTCCATCGCGTGACGGGGGATCAGGACTCGAGTCGATGCAGCGAAGCGGGAAGCATCGTGCTGCTCAAAACGTTCTGCGGCATGTGTGCAGAATAGATTTTGTCTGAAAACCGCTTAATCTCGTAATACCAGGTCGATCGTTACAATATTCACACACATTTCACTGTTTTCTTTGTAAGTTAAAATTTTTTTATAACAAAAGAACAAAATGTACGCGTATGTGAAACTCCTTGATGGTCCTAACAGAGGGAAAAAAATAATTGTGCGTACCTCTGAAATCCGAAATTTTTCAATAAACACACATAAAAACAATGTTAAGTATCGCGTGGAGGTGAAGAAAAAAATGTGCTTAGGAATAATTATGTTATTAGAAGGTATGTAATGCACATTTTATTTCTTAACAAAATTATTTTGTTTAAAAATATGAAACTAATATATACCTCTTTATTTTAAATCAGACATGAAACGCGTAATTTATTATTTTGCAGACTCGAAAGATGATATCGAAAAGCGACTGGAAACTTTGAAAAGGTTGCCTGCTATTCCGGAACGTTTGATGATAACGGCATCGAGTAGCTCATCATCCTCAGATGAAATCATTAATTCATCACTTAACAGTATGACATCTTCGAAAAGTACACAAGAAAGTAATTCCGTAAGTTTATATTTTTCATGTTCAAATTGTATAATATACGTATAATATACAATATATTATATAAATAATAATCAGAATCGTTAATAATTTTATTTTATTTTATTTTATATTATATATCTTATATATTGACATTCATGTTTAAGATTTTGGAAAAAGTATTATCAGTGAAACTGGAAAAGTTATCGAAACAGTCGCCTACAATAAAAGATGTCGATGAAAATGCTAATGAACAGGTATACACATACAGGTTGTAACATAAAATGTTTGCAACAAATTTTATGTACATATATTCCAAAGTATTTTCATCAAAATACATAGTGTTACTTAATTATTTCTCTTATGTTTCTTATAAATAATTAAATTATAGTTACTTTTTTGTATTAGTAGGATCTTTGGAATAAATGAAATTATTTTACTTATTCTGTATCAATTTGTGCTTCGAACACTGAGCCCCGCTTATTCTTATTTATTATTAACTTCCAATTACGATCTTTTTGTAACATTTTTTGTAGTTTTTTTACAGAAACACGCTTTTAATTTTAGGAATTAATTTTACTTTACTTTTTTGTCTTGTTTTGGTTTCTTGTTTTTCCTCTCTTTTTCTTCTTTTTTATTATTCTGTTTTTAAATCTAATTAATATATTGACTTACATCTGCTCTGTTTTCTAAAGCTTGATGACAACTTTTATATTAAAATTATACGAAATTGAATATAAAAAATGTAGAATATTTTGCTATCAATATTTTAACTGTGTAAATATATTGCAATTTCAATGGGAAACTTTGATTGAAGCAATCTCGGCTTGTAATTCCAATCAAGTATAACAAGGAGGCAGAGCAGATTGATATACGCAAAGCTGACAGAGCAAAGCTAAATGGTTGGGATTGCTGGGAATGTGAAAAAGTAATATCAAAATATAATTACACAAAATATGTACACATAAAGGAAATATTTTCATTATAAAGAAGTATTAATTTTTCTAATTCTGTATGTAATCTTTTAGTATTACAAGAATTTATCACTGTCAAAAGACAAATTGCAGAAGCGAAAAAATAAATGCGCGCGGCATAAGTATGAGAGACCTAAAACACCAGATGGTATATTTATAATGTTATATTATAATTTCTCATGACTTTTATGATACATTATATAAAATACAATTGTATATAATTGTATAAAATGTTATATAAAATATCTTTTTTTTCTTAAAAGGATTTTGGGATCCACTAATTCCTGAGACACAGTCGTCGGAATGTATAGAACCAGCATTAGAAGGGGGCTGCATTAATTCGGAGGTATTGTACAATATTTTTAAGTATATTACAAATAAATCATTAGAACTTAATAAATTTATTTATTTTTATAATTATTTATTTTTATAACTGCAATATATTTTTTGCATGTTCAGATAAATAATAATATTTGAAATGAACGCGAAGGCAAAAACGTAGTTTTAGATTGGTATTTAATTCTATGACAATAGAGGTAAATATTAAAAACTAAACTTATTTATTCTATGACGTTATTTTTTAGACGATTGAATTTGAAGAAACCGATCTATTAGAAGCGAATGATTCGAAAAACGATCCATTACAAGCGAATGATTCGAAAAACGATCCATTACAAGCGAATGATTCGAAAAACGATCCATTACAAGCGAATGATTCGAAAAACGATTCATTGCAAGCGAATGATTCGAAAAACGATCCATTACAAGCGAATGATTCGAAAAACGATCCATTACAAGCGAATGATTCGAAAAACGATCCATTACAAGCGAATGATTCGAAAAACGATCCATTACAAGCGAATGAATCGAAAAACGATCCATTACAAGCGAATGATTCGAAAAACGATCCATTACAAGCGAATGATTCGAAAAACGATCCATTACAAGCGAATGAATCGAAAAACGATCCATTACACGCGAATGATTCCAAAAACGATCCATTACAAGCAAATGATTCGAAAAATGATCCATTACAAACGAATGATTCGAGGGTACATATTTAATTAATAATTAATAATTTCTGCAATTTGACCACACGTTGTTCTGAAACCATTAATGTATTTAATTTTATTATTGTAATTAACAATTTATTTTTGCTACACGCATTGATCGATTGGAATTCATATCACTGTGTCTTTTTAGATTTCTAAATATGAAGAAAGCACCACTGATGTAGACAACCATATTTCAGAGGTATATAATAATTTTATCATGCATTGTTTTCTAAGTACTGTAATCAGTGTACCCCAAAAAGATCCTAAAAGTCGTTTTTAAACGTTTATACATTGCGACATTTTTGTGCGAAGATAACTAACGTTGTTCAAGATTTTAAAGCTAAAAAGTTATTTTTTATTGTAATTAATTTTCATAATAGCTTATAATAAATGTTTAGTCGAAATATTGTAAATATTTCATTGAAATATTGATGAAAATTATTTTATCTCATATGTCTTTACATTGGATACATTTTCCTCTCTGCAATATACATAGTACTCTACTATAGTAGTAGTACTCTATTATACATTTATAACTTAAATTTTTGTACTCATTTTTTGCAGTTAAAAAAAAGATCGTTGCTCCCTGCAAAAACCTCGAAATTACAATCAAGGATTGAAGAATTACAGGAACGCAATGACAAATTACGAAATGAACGTAAAGAAATAAAACAAAAGCTGGAGGAAGCAATGTCCGAGTTGAAAAATGTAAGAAAATTAAACGAACGACTGCAAATGGCGTTGATCGATAAAACTGACGAATGCGAAGGTAAGAAATTGTGTATACATTATCTTTCTTATCAGTTTATAAAAGTATCAGAAATTCTTGAAGTATAATAAATGCACTAATAAGTGATATTTCTGTATGGCTACCCAGATAACACAGAAAGGTCAAAAGATATCTTAAAGATGTAAAAGACAATAAGACATCTTTAAGTCATCTTTTTAGTTATCTTTTAGATATGTGTGTTGTCTGAGCAGAGTCTTGTACTTTTTTTAATCGTTATGATTATAGATAAAAATAACCAAAATATTTTAATTTTTACAGCAACGCTGAAAACCATATTGACTGCCAATATCAACATGCAGTATGAAAATAATTTTCCACCAATTTTGACAAGACAGTCTAATGGGATGGTAATGAGTACAGGTTTTTCCATGTATTATTTATAAAAATTGTTCGTCGTGGTAATAAAAATAAATGTATGCACTACAGATCCACGATTGGGCGAAACGAGTGGATTAGTGAAATCTACTATAACAGAGTGTGCAACTCGTCGAAAACTCCTCGTCAATTTGCAAGTAACATTATTTTCCCTGTTTTCGACGATGAATTGCTCATGACTAGCACTATTACAGGATACACTAGTGCACGACACGGTGAAAAAGGACCATGCAATAAACTGGTCGAAAAGAAATTGGGGGCTTGTGAAGGTAAAACGTGTTTAATTGTACAACATATAATATCAATATAAATATATAAGAATGTAACGTTTATCACTAATAATTTCTAAATAAAATCAATAGAATATTTTAGTAATCGGTAATCGTTTTATAATTAATCGTTTGAGAATACTATGTTATTTTAATATGTTTTGTTTTTAAGAACATAGTATTGAGTTAAAGTATTTTTGTCATTTTTATTTTTGTTCATACAGATATATACAAGCATTGGATAAATAACACGTATAAAAAGCAATTTGCTGACACTCCTCACAAAGACAATACTATGAGAGAATTATCGAAATTTTATTATTACGTGGGAAAAAAACTTGCTGATTTAAAGAAAGGTTCGCGTGAAAAAGTAATTGACGAAAATGCGAAAAAGCGACGACAAAACAGCGATAAAAACAAAAGCAAGAAAAGTAAAAGCAGCGAAGAGACTGACGAACGAAGCGAGGAAGACGTAAATGTTGAGGATGACGAAGATAGTCGTCTTTACGATTACTCGCCCGAAATTCATTCATCGTAATGGTCAGAAAAGTTTGTTCTTTTAAATATCAGTTGTGTTTCGAATTTCTTTTGCAAGTTTTCAACAGTATGAAAGTATTTTAAATTAAAAAAAAGAAAAATATATAGAAATAATATTGTATAAGAATAGTACTGTAAAACAAAAATTGTTTCTTTTGTTAAAATGTTTTTGTTTATGTTTAAACAATTTTGTGTTTTTGAAGATTTTATTTCCAATTTTAATACAAATTGTTTGTATTACTTAAAGTTTTATACCATACAGTTATGATGTGTTATTCATTTATCATAAGTTTACGTTTTGTTATAATATGAGTTTATTATAAGGTTTTAAAACTAATGTGTTAAAGGAAACTCAACCAAGCAGT